TCATTGGATGAGCAATTTCAACAGAGTTAACATTCAGAGAGCAGTGGTCTCTTTAATTCTGTTTTAAATTTGTATGGAAAGTGAGTCTATACAGAAATTGGTAGCCACAACGTACCATTTTTCCAGCAGCTCTTTTACATCTCTAAAATGAAATTATACAACAGGCCAGACAAGCCAAGAGACCCATTCAGCAGTTCTGTGGACTTTCATTTTGAGAGTCGTCTTTCTCTCTGCAGGAGTTGCGACTAAACCATTCAGCTGTTATTAAATGTCTCTTTGTATGTCTGTTTACCCACATCTTTGATACCATGTAAACCGGACTGTAGTCATGTCAGCAGATTTCCGCTTGCTGCCCAGGAGGTATTAAGGTTAGTGGGTATTACCCAGGGGACTAACTTTTACCAAAGGAAAGAGCGGCAGTGAAATATGCGCTCAACTCCTGGTTTTAAGCTAAGTCTGCCTCAGTTTTCTTTGAGCTGGGAGAACAAAGGATGGGTGAGTACTTTCACCTTCTCGTATTTTCTAAGTTCCTTAAAACACTGACCTGGAATGAACCTAAGTTCATCATTTGTCACAAATGGCACCACACTGTTCAGAGGGATTGATAATGGGGGAGGGCTATGCATGCGTGGGGGCAAGGGTACATGGAGATCTCTATACCTTCCTCTCAGTTTTGTTGTGGAGCTAAGACTGCTCTAGAAAAAAAGCCTTAAAAAAAACCTGGAAATTAAGTTATAATTTTAGTATTTGAAAGCAGACTTGATTTTAAAAGAATAATGAACAGATATATGTAATCCTTTATTTAACCTTCTTATATAATATGTATAACACCTTGGGGGTAGGTGGATGTGTTTCCAAGTCACCGTGAAAGAATATGAAAATAGGCAGCTTGTGAAGAAAACCAAGTATAGCACAAGTATGATCTTAAAGGAAACGTGAAGATTTAATTTTTGTTACTGAAGATGTTGCCACATTATTAATACATTTTTTTGTGTTCTCCATTGACCTGTCACAGCTTTAAATCTAATAAACAAGAGCTTAATTCACCAGATGTTAACTCACCAGATGTTTTCGTTTTAAAAGTTAAGTCCTTATTTTAAAATGTTTTCAAAAGTTCTTTCTTATTGGATCTGTGATTTTTATAATTCCAAAATGAAACTAGAAGGGAGTTTTATACCTGATCTTGTGTTAATGATTGCTGAGAGACCATTCTCTACAACTTAATAAAAGAGATCTAAAAAATTCTAGAGATTGCCTGGCTCCAGTATGCAGGGCCTTGTGCTAGAGGTCAAGGGGGTGGGATACCAAGATGAAGATAAGTTTGTTCCTACTTTCATGTAACACACAGTTGAACTGGAGTCCAAGACTGAGTATGACAGATTTGAAAACTGTCTTCTTCATATCTGCCCATATTAAGAACATAGCATTGACATACTTAGGTATCTCATTAAAATAATGAGTGATTGTGTGTCCTTATGTAACTTCAGGTATATATTTTTGACTTTTATTTAAAAACCACGAGTTTGGAGCCAATTCTTAAGGTAGTCGATTAATTTTTTATTATAAAATAGATGATAGGTTCAAATAATATACAAATATACAATATACTGCAGAAATTTGTTTAAGAGCTTTTGGCTTCTTTATTATCATTATGAAAGTTAAATGAAATAGCTTATTTTGGGGGCTAGTTACATTTATAGTAATAGATATCAGTTGGTAATTATACAAATCATGCCTTTTCCAGTAAAATATACTGAGTTAGTGATAGTTGAAGAAGACTGAAATTTAAAGCGTGACTTTAAACAGTTTTTCCAAAAAAGAACTTAAGAGCATCTGTGATTATTTTGATAAGGTGTGTACCCCGATGTCCCTTGATAAGCAGGAAACTCTGTGGCCCTCGGAGAGATTGTCTGGCCCCTCCAGAATAAGGGGTCCCCAGGGCCCTATGAAGAATCGTTAAATAGAATGATTTAAGAATTATCTTAATAAACATTTTTATGATTCTCTGTACCTTGGGAAATCAACAAAATTTGGGGTTTGGATTATCCACTAAGTTGGAGTGTGTCGTTCAGCCGCTAAGTCGTGTCCAACTCTTTATTATAAAAAGTTTGAAATGAGTGAACCTCTTACTTTTCTTCCCTAATGCAAACTTTTGTAAAATTGAGTGGAGAAAACAACTAATATTGTGTTCTCTGTGACAGGTACTGCAGTAGGTATTTTACAGATTCTGTCCTGGTTTGTTTTGTCACTAACCTTTCTGACCCACAGAATCCCAACTACACTTTAAGTATCCCCAGGTCTCTATAAAGACAAAACTCATTTTTTTTATACTTTAAATATCCTAAATTGATTTCTGTGTCTGTGGCTTGATTTGAATATTAGGTGATTTAGTTTCTTTCACATGGCTAAGTTCCTGAGTTAGTCCTTTATTTCTTGCCTACATCGCTGTGAAGGTCAAGTTTCTTTCCAAGTTTTGCATTTCTTACTGTGTGTATTTGTTATGGGGGGTAGGCAATGGGACCCAAAGGCAATGTATGTGTGTTTGATTGCCCAGACATCTGCATGTATGAAAATGGAGAGGTGTCCTTATATTATATAACCTCTGAAAAACTTCACTATACATTAGTGAGAGAATGAGAGTAAAAAATAAATAACATTTTGGTATGGTTATAAAAAGTTTTCAACTTGCATATGCCCTGAAAGGGCCATGGGAACCTCTAAGCTTCATGGACAACCTTTTGAGAACCACTGCTGCAGAAGCTAAAGGGATGAGGAGGGTGAGTTAACAGTGGGGTGGGAACTTTGCCTTCTTTTATATATTTCTATTCTGTATTTGAATTTTTTGTAATGAGCACATACTACTTTTATTGTTTTTAAACACACACAAAAAAATGAGAGGCTGCGAGGGCATCCTCGAGGGTAATACAGTTTTTGCTTCAACCACAGCAATAATTCTCATTTAGTTCCTGTTACATACATGATCTCAGAATAAATCTAAATTTCATATTTAGCTGATATGTTTTAAATAGGATCCCATCCAGAATACCAACATGAGCAATAATGCAAGTCCCAGGTCGTTTGTTCCCATTGAAAGATCTGAACACACACCGCCTGTTTTTCTCTTCATAGTCTGCCTTTGCTTCTGGCTCCCACAAAAGGCACAGGCACAGATGTGGATACCCAGTCCCATTTATCATTTTTCCCTGCTAATTGAAGTGAACCTAGGAATGGAAAAAGCAGAGTCCCGTTTAATGCTTAAATTGTCCTTGGACACATTGGCTGTCAGATTAGAAATTCTTGCTAACCTCTGCCCCTCTGTGTTTGGTCACCAGATATCTGTTCTTATTTCTTCTGCTTCCTCACAAATTGGAAAAATAAACCTTCCACCTCAGTTACTCTCTTTCTAATAAGTGACTTAAAAAAGCAATGATACAATTTTAAAAATTTAGTCAGACTACTTATTTTCAAGATTACAGAAATAATCAAAAGTCTGAATAGAAATTAGAATAATTTGGCTCAGTTCAAAGTGTAACATGCTTTATGAAGAAGCAAACATTAATCTGACAATTTTCCAATGAGATAGGAAAAATAGAGACCTTAATAGGTAAATAAAATCCAACTTTGTGTATTGAAACAATGAAACGTTACAACTAGAGTAAAAATGTTACATTTTCAGCCTGTATCTGAATATTAACTCCATTGGATTATTTCTTTAATGTCTTTCAGATTTATTCCTTTGTATAAAGTGCTTAATTTCTTCCAAATATAATATATATTTTTGCACTAAAAAAATTAAGAAAAAAATTAAAAATCATCTGTAATTCCACCACCTCTGTACAGCGACTGTAACATTCTGGAACATATTTTGATTGTAAGCTTAGCATCATCATATTCTACATATTCTTTATAGCCTTATTATTTAGTTAACCAAACACCATGACTATTTTTTCCATATCAATAAACCAGAGTTCATGTTACCATTTTTAATCATTACATGGTATTAATACTTCCTTAAAAATCTTTACCATTCTCATATATATTAGATTTTTTTTTACTATAATAAGATAATGCTTTAGTAAGTATATCTGTTCCTATATCTTTCCATACTGGTCTGATTACTTCCTTAGAGTAAAGACTTAGCTATGAGATTGCTGGGTCAACTAGGCAGTACTTTCTTCTCCAAAGACTTTTTAATAAAATTGCAAAATTCCTCTTTAAAAAGTATACCAAATATATACTCCTTTTCCCCCAACCCTGATCTATTCTTGAATGTAATGGGTTAAAAAAAAAATCATTATTATTTTGGTTTTCATTTCTTTAAATACCTCTGTGGTTGAAGTTGAACATCTTTTCAAATATTCTGCACAAGTTGCCTGCTCATATACTTTGCCTACTTTCCTATTGGAATTTCATCTTACTAGTCTGTGAATGCTCTTTATAATCTTTGTAAAAGACATCTACTGCTTGTTGAATCATTTTCTTCTCTGCATTTAAGAATTATCATATTATTGTAACTATAATAATTATACCATTATATAATTATCTTATAAGGATTATAAGGAACTCTAGGCACTGAACAGTATTATGGCTCTGGGATTTTTGATGTAGACCTTCCTCTGTTTCCTGCCATTCAAAAGATGAGCAAATATTTCTATCTAAGGCTAGCCATCTAAGATAGTAAGTGTACCACCATTCTCATAAAGTTATGAAAATGTTGGGACTTATTCCATGGTTTTTTTTTTAACTTTATGTGCTCTCTGACTCTCTAAGACTAAAATCAGTATTGTAGCAGAAATGCACCATCAAATCCATAAGGGAAGGAGACAAAATCCTGTCCTGACACTTTTCTTACAGTCGTTGCTGCCTTTGGTCCCCTCTGGAACTTGTCATCGTTGACCTAGCTCGCTGCTCTCACTGTGATGTGTATGATCTCACCCTCCTGTCCACCCACATGAGGAATGGATTTTCTAACCCTCAGCTGTATTTCTGTGCATTTTCAGAGCATCCACATACTGGAGAGGACTTCTTCCACGAGCACCGAACCCTCTCTAAGTCGGCAGCTGCTGGAGCCAGAGCCGGTGCCACTCTCCAAGGTCAGGAGGCATGGCCCCGGGCCAGTTGAACGACACCTCTTTCACCTGACTCCCCTAAGCTGGTTGTGATGCCCATTGTAGAACTGCTCTTTCTCTTCTTTCCACCCGCCCAGTATGTAGGTTATCTTGCCCTAAGAAGGGAAGAGATGAACGTGTATTTGCTGATGAGATTTGCAGGGTTACATACAGATGGCCAGAATTCTCTTTGTTTTGGGTTTCCCCAGTGGGTAAGAAAGTAAAGAATCTGCCTGCAATGCAGGAGACTCAGGTTCGATCCCTGGGTGCGGAAGATCCCCTGGAGGAGGAAATGAATTAAAATATGCCAGTCCACTATTAAACTTGAAATACTCCAATTCAGTATTCTTGCCTGGAGAATTCCATGGGCAGAGGAACCTGGTGGTCTACAGTCCATGGGTTTGCAAAGAGTCGGACACAACTGAGTGACACTTTCATTTCTTTTCACTTTCTCTTTGTTTTAAGGGAAAGGCAAGAGAAATTATCATCCTTCTCTCTTGGAGAGATGAGCTAATATTTCTATATCAAGGTAATTAAAAAAAAAAAAATCACTGGACCCCGAAGTAACAAGAACAGCAACAGCAGGTACCATGCACTGGGTACCAGGTATTATATTAAGATGATTCCATTTACTATAATCCTTATGAGCGGTTCCATGTAGAGTAGGTATTTATTACATTTTACAAATACAGGAGCCAAGAGTTAGTAACTTGCCCAGAGTGAAAAAAGCTGCTGAGTCACAGGTCAGGGACTCAGACTTAGACTTGTTTAAATTCTGCCCCAGCTGCAGGGTAAGAGTCCTGCCCAGGGGGGCTGCTCTGTGTTCAGAGCTCAGGCCCCTTCTTACAGCTGGGCTTCCTGGCAGCGAGCTCCGAGGGGGCCACAGAGACTACTGGTGCAGACCTTTTCTGAATCATGGAAGCCAGTGTTCCCTCTCCCTGGGCTTCCTTTTCCTCAGACTGCAGGAACATCTAAATTAACTTGTGCCTGTGCAAAAATCACCAAGAAGAGTCGAAGAGACACCACCCTACTTATTCCCATCCTCTGCTCAATTCCCTGAGATTTTCCGGCTCCCCTACTGAGAAACTCAAAAAATAGAATGCATGGAGATTTTGAATCCAAAGACAAAAATGGTACTTTATTTCCCCAAAAGGTTAACTAAGTATGGATAACTGACTCATCAATGTTGCTTTTCCTACATTAAACAGAATCCTTTGTGAAAAGAATGCTCTACTACACTATTGTATTATAGAATATAGTACCTCTTTATACTTTGAAGGTGTTAACAAGCCATAGAGTTTATTCTGTCAGATAGGAGCAGGTTGCCAAATTAAAATAAGGGAGTTATTAAACTGTAAAAAAAAAACAAACAAAACAACTTAGAAATGAAAAACAATCTTATTTCTATTTGAATGGCAAAAAGAGAATGTCTACTTGGTAAATATGACCAGAAATCTCTTTGAAACCTTAGTTCTCTCTTAAGACACAGCTAAAGGACAGAGAATAACCCCATGTAGGGGTGATGGAGAAGGTGGCTCACACTGATTGAGCACCCACTTTGGGATCTGGGTAGGACCCTGGCAACATCCACTTCTCCTTACTTCTCCATGCATCTGCCTGCTTAGATCTTGCTGTGTGACTCATATTCTTGTTGTGTTTCTGTACAAATACATAACACCTCTCTTGGGACCCCATGAAATCAGAGTCCCGTTCAATCCAGACACCATAGTATCTCACCATCCCTCAGCCACTTTGAGAGAAGATGGACTCCCTGGGTACTGGTTGGTGGTGGAAGAACACTGTTTAAAGTACACATAGTCTTGTCTCACGATTTGTTCAAATGCTTTGTTTGATACTTTCACCTCCTAAAGCATTTCACATATCCACCACCTACACATATGCACCTATAGAATATACTCTTGAGAAAGGAAATGTCTTTTTTTTCCAAATGAACAGCCTAGGGCTGTTATCAGGTTCATTTCTGTTTGGGGGTATTGTTATTAGATCAAAGGTGTTTTTAAAACTTTTGTAATAGCAAAAATGTTTGTATATCTGTTGCAAGTACTGATTATGTTAGGGTTTTTAACTCTGTTTCTAATATATGTAAACCTATGAATGTTGGTGACTTTAAGAAGAAAATTGATATTAATTGAAATTAAGAAAAGTTATTCAGTTTTCAGAAAACAATTTTAGCTTTCTCAAGACAGACCTGGTCTACTAAGTATAGAGATGAATTGTACGAAGTCCTGAGATAGGATATTTCATTTCTTACACACCTTATTTGTACCATTATCATCAGTATTTATAATTGAAATAGAGTTGTTTGCTCTGGCATTATCCTCTGCTTTTTTGTCTGTTTGACAGTTTACTTAACTTTAAGAACTGTATTAGGATTCTTCCTAATTTCTTTTGCTGGATGTAGTAATGCTGAATCAGAGTGAGTGCAGTTACCTGTTCAGAACTGCTGCATGTATATTTACAAAATACATTTTTAACTTTTTGCTTTTTCTGTCTTATCCACACAGCCCCGCCCCTTTTTTTCCTCTGTAGTTAAATTCCCAAAGAATAAAAAAACTGCTGTGACAGAGATCAGTAGTCATAGTTCCATAGGGACAAGCTATTACTACATTCTGAATTTAATTAAGAAAAAATTCAAATAGCATTTGTACTTATTATTAAAGATTTCCATTTTCATAAGTAATGCAGAGTATTCGTCACACATGGAGAGAGAATAAATCAAAGATGAACACTAGCCTTCAAATAAGATAAGATCTAGCCAAAAAAAAAATGCTCTTCTGGAGATGCTATCCATCGATGGGGCTACTAAAAATAGAAATATCATTAAATACAGCTGATATCTCTCTAGGACCAGAGAGAGTGCTCATGAATATAGGTACACATATGTGGAGAGTTTTTCTTTTACTTTCTTGATTACATTAAGGCTTTCTAAAAGAAATCTATTAGTTTTATGGAATAAAAATCAATCATTTTTATCTGCTTCACTGATGGGAATGAAAAGCCAAAGATAACTGGACTTTGTACAAGAACCTGCTATTTTCTTCTATTATTCTCTCATTATTTATAAACAGTGCTCACCTGGATTGAATTACAGTTCAGTATTAAAAATGAATATACCAAAGCACTCTGCTTTGTACTCCTGAGGACAGTGCCTTTTACTGTCCTAAAAATAGGGTACAGAGCCTGAAATTTTCTCATCAGAAGTGTTTTTTTTTTTTTTAGGTAGGAAGTGGATTTATTTAGAAAGAAATATTTTTGAAAAAATTACCATATCTAATTAATGGTTCTGACCAGATCAATCACAGTTTCTGACAGTACTTAAGTAGAGAATCACTTTGTAGGTTGTTTTCTTGTGTACAAGGAAGTTTACAGCTCCTTTAAAGGTTCTTAATGTCACCAGATAAGCACTGGCAGCTGCATTTCCATGAGGGATGTATGAATAGCTCATTCACCAGGCGCCCTCAGAGATGACCGAGAAGATGGAGAAATGGCAATGATCTTGGATCAGTTCTCAGGGGTGGTGGTGGTTGTGGGCTTGGGCTTCAGGCGGGAGGAAGCATGATGCTGGCTTCAGAAGCCAGGAGTATCTCCTAGCCTTAATGATGTTAGCATGAAGCAATGTTCAGCCACATCTCCTGGAAACAATTTTCTGTGAAAATCCCAGTCCATTTACACATATTTGAACTTACACATAGATTTGACTCAGCCATAGAGCAAGTGGGCTTCCCTGGTGGCTCAGATGGCAGAGAATCTACCTACAATGTGAGAGACCTAGATTTGATCCCTGGGGTGGAAAGATACCCTGGAGGAGAGCATGGCAACCCACTCCAGTTTTCTTGCCTGGAGAATGCCCATAGACAGAGGAGCCTGGCAGGCTGCAGTCCACGGGGGTCTCAAAGAGTCAGACATGACTTAGCAACTAAGTATGCACAGCCGAAGGCAGGCAGCTTCTGAGGTGAAAGAAGACAGAAAAAAGAGGCATGGATGGCAAATATGCAGCCCTCTCCCCTCCCGTCTCCATGGCTGATGTCAGTAGCTGACTATGGCCCCTTGGCCCCTGGGTCCTGTCAGAGCCTCACAGTCCTGCAGCAGACTCTGGACAGCCACCACCCAGACCCGGGGCTGGCAAGTCCATCTGCCCCAAGATAGAACCCCTTGCCATTCCCGCTGAAGCCTCTGTGCCATAGTCTAAAGAAGATTGCTGATAGAACACCCCTCAGAAGTCAGCTTCCTGAGTCAGATTGGGTCAGTTCGTTCTGCAGAGAGGCCTGCCCTGATCCATGAAGCTGCATCCAGCTTTCCAGAGCTGAGGTGGCCAAGCAGGTTGTGCTGAGAGATTTTGCTTCCCTGCTCCATGGGCAGGAGTGCAGCAGTCGTGCACGCGATGTGACCTCATTGTTCCTGCCTCTGCTTCTGCTTGAGTGAGCCCCAAGCCTGAGATCTAAAACACGAGTGTTTACCAGGTCAGCGGTTACTATAGAGCTGCCTGAGCCCTTGGAAATTACCTGGTCTGGGGATTTTAAAACCCAAGATGTTGCTACAGAGCAGCTATCCAACATGGAAGCAGACCCAAGGGGGACTGTGGCAGACTGAAGAAGGGCTGCCATCCCCCAGGGCAGGACCAATATTGCCAGATCTTCAGTTCAGTTCAGTTCAGTCGCTTGGTCGTATCCGACTCTTTGCGACCCCATGAATCGCAGCACGCCAAGCCTCCCTGTCTATCACCAACTCCCAGAGTTTTCTCAAACTCATGTCCATTGAGTCGGTGATGCCATCCGCCATCTCATCCTCTGTCGTCCCCTTCTCCTCCTGCCCCCAAGCCCTCCCAGCGTCTTACGCTTCCACAAACACTAGAAATTTGGCTTTTTAAAGTCTGAAATCCTCTGATTTTTAAATATTGACAATTCATTTTAAAAGCTTTTTTTAAAAACAACATAGATGAACAAAACGTATCTGATGGAAGAGGAAACCATGATTTAGTCCGTTTTTAACAGGAAATTTTTCCAGTGGTCATGTATGGATGTGAGAGTTAGACTATAAAGAAAGCTGAGTGCAGAAGAATTGATGCTTTTGAACTGTGGTGTTGGAGAAGACCCTTGAGAGTCCCTTGGACTGCAAGGAGATCCAACTAGTCCATCCTAGAGGAGATCAGTCCTGGGTGTTCATTGGAAGGACTGATGTTGAAGCTGAAACTCCAATACTTTGGCCACCTGATGTGAAGAGCTGACTCATTTGAAAAGACCCTGATGCTGGGAACGATTGAGGGCAGGAGGAGAAGGGGCCGACAGAGGATGAGATTGTTGGATGGCATCACCAACACAATGGATATGGGTTTGGGTGGACTCCGGGAGTTGGTGATGGACAGGGAGGCCTGGCGTGCTGTGGTCCATGGGGCCACAAAGAGTTAGACACGACTGAGCGACTGAACTGAACTAGCAGAGGAGGGTGATGATGCGGACTCTAGAAGCTCAGATTCTTGGCTGTGCAGTCGGGCGTTCTTTCCATGGGCTCCCAGCGGTGTGTTTTTCTCACAACATGTGTCTTCGAAAGCATGGACTTCTTGGTGGGTATTTGGCAAGTGGGGCATTTTATGCTCACTTAGAAATGTCAGCAGTCTCACCAAGGGGAAACAGATGCCCACAGTGCTGCTCTTCAGCCTAACAGATTGTGAGCTACTTAGGCTACTACAGCCTTTTTATTTCTACAGAAAGTCAGGCCCACACACTAATTGAACATGTTTCATCAAAATGATCTTATTTTAAAACTTTAATGTGCCTCTGTCTGCAGAGATGAACTGCCTGGAAAAGTGCATTTTAAATCTTGTGAATACAGGCAATCAAAACCATTCTACCCCAGACTTCACCGCTGTCCAGCTCTGTTCTGATGGCCTGCATTCCTGCAGGTGTACCCAGGAGCGCATTCTCACTTCAGTTATAAGTGCATAGCTGTGTGTGATGTTAGAGAACGCGCCAGAGTGATGTTCATGCCTCTGATGGGTTGAGTGTTGTTTCAAAAGCAACTTCTACCTTGGAATTTGCTTCTAAGTATGTCATCAAACACTGAGAAATATGTGATTTGTTTTTCTTCTTTTCTCTTAGGAAGCTGACAGCTGGGAAATTATAGAAGGACTGAAAATAGGCCAAACCAATGTCCAGAGACCAGACAAACATGAGGGTTTTATGCTAAAGAAGAGAAAATGGCCTTTAAAAGGCTGGCACAAGGTACCATTTTCATCACAGTCATCTTCAGATCATCTTCTTAATTAGAGAGGGTCTTCCTTGGTGTCAGTAAGTGGTTATACAGCCTTATTTTAACCATACAGGCTGCAACCTGTCATATCTATTTGTTCTGTAATGTCTGTAAGCAGAGAAAAAATATTTTACATGATATTTAAAATCCAGTTTACACATATTGTTGTGTACTCTGCTTTTTAAACTTCAATTAGGATAAATATGTTCTTATTAAACATTCTTCTAAACCTGAGCTGCTTTTAAATGCATGCATGTATTTCATCAGATGGATTTATACTATATATCCCACCACTACTGAACCAGTTTCCTATTGCTGTGTATACATGTGTCTGATTTTTTACTGTATGATGTTGTGATGAAGATTCTTATACATGAATTTCCATTTAGGTTCTTGGAGTAAATTCCTAGAATTATTGTTTGCCAGTGCAAACTAAAGATGGAAAATCGCTTTCTTGGAAGTTTGTCTACTGCCCTTTAGTATATATGGTGTATTTCTCTCTCCCCAACTCCACATAATTTTTCCATCTTCCAGTTTTGATTATGAAGAAAATATTTTGAACTGTATTGTTGCAATGACCTGAGTAGCAAGAATTCTGGACACTTAGGAGAAGCAAGCTGTCCTCTGTTTTCAATATAAGCCTTTGGATAGACCACCAGGATCTATCTAGAATCACTGGAAGAACAGGTTCATTACTTGCCACATCTGCTAATGGATTTCATCTCAAGGCAGATGGATTTGGGGGTACAAATGGAGTGGTGGTTGCTGCCCATTGGCTCAAAAATGGAGGTTATGGATTATAACATCCTTGAGGAAATATATTTTTTGCAAATTAAGGGAAGGACTTAAAAATTAACAGATGGGAAATGTTGCCTCAACTCCCTATCTCTGAAGATGGAATGAAAGCCAGTCAAACAGTCTTCTTCTCTCTCACTTGTCAGAACCTTGACAGTCTCCTTGAACCCATAATATTATACCAGTACCAGGAATCTCTCTTCACCCTTGATCTCTCTTGGATTTTGGTCAACTGGCCTTACACCTTCCTGGAAGCACCTTTGCCTTTCATTCTGACCTTCCCACTTTTCAATTCCTCAAATCAATGGCCTTGCTTATCTCCTCCCCATGACCCATCCTATAGGTTATCTCTGCTAGAATTCTTTGATAGATAGAAATGGAAAAATAGAAGAAAGAGGTCAAAAAAACACATTTATCTGAATTGCTGACTTTAATTTAGCACTCTCAATCCATGTTTCAGCAAAATTGGCTGTGGTTCAGCTGCAGCTCTTTCTGGATCATCCCTTAGAACATTTTGCTACATGAGCAGTAGTAGGTCCTCCCTTCATCTCCTTTGCTCCTGGTCTGTGATACTGTATTTATTCAAGCATCAGTCCATTTGATTGCCCAAGTCATAGGCAATCAAAAACTCAAGTATTTTTCAGCTGTAAAGGTTCTTTCCTCCAGTGCTTACTTGCTGCCCCCCAGAACTGTAAGAAAGGGTTACAGTGGCCTTCTGTGAGTTCTGTATAGGGTGTCCCCAGGCCCAACTGCCTGTCACCTCAGCAGCCTAGAGTTCCTAAGTCACATAAAAACTTCCCAGCCGAGTAATTTACCAGCCACAGTAATTTACCTGCATCTGTGGAGAGTAGAGGACCCTGGACCCATTATTTGACTGGGTCATGGGAGCTGTTTGTTCTCCTGTCAATTGTCCATGGAAAGGAAATCAACCAAAAGAGCTCCTGAGGTTTGTGGATCAAAAATAGCTAGATTTATTTGGACTGGACCAGGAGTATCTTGGAAGAGACAAAAACCACTCCAAATATATCTATTTATTCCCCCTTAATAGAGTTCAGAAATAATTTTTAATCTGTTTTACTAATAGTGAAATGGAAGTATTTTTCTAAGTGGAGATGCAAGCATATTGATAAGGCTGCTACCCCCACTCCCCCATTAAGAAAAACTGGTGATGGGGGGCATCCATGTGGTCTACTGGTTAGAATTCGGACCAGGTTTAATCCCTGGTCAGGGAACTGAGATCCCAGAAGCTGTGCGGTACAGCCAAAAAGAAAAGAAAAGAAAACTGTGGTGAAAGATTTCATCCCCATTGGATTATGTGTAAAAGAACCCTACTAGGTAAATGGTATAGAACGCGAGCTCAGATTTCCTTACCATTTCATGTGACTGGCTGTGGCCAGGTGCACTAAATTCAAATACATGGAAATGGTCAAACATGTTGATTACTAAGTACCAAGCAATATTAGACCCACACTTGTGAATGTTTTATGTAATTCAAAATACTGATAGTAACTGGGGACTGTTTGGTTCTTGCAGCGTTTTTTTGTCCTGGATAATGGAATGTTAAAGTATTCAAAGGCACCACTTGATGTAAGTAGACAAAAGGATTGGTTTCAAATTCTGCTTGAAGTGAGTCAACACCACAGTGTACAAGTGTTGTGCCACAGTTCTGTATGTTTCTGTGCCTGTAAGACTTAACAACCTACCAGACTTCCATGTTGCATGGAGGGTGTGTTTTATGCTTATGCTTAAGCTAGCATAAAATCTCAAACTGCTGCATGAAAATTTAACTATTGTAATGTATGCTGTTAAAAACAGAAGCTTAAACCTAAAAGTCACCAACTAACAAAAATCACCCTTTCTGTCTTAGAAAACTCAAGTAGAATTTTTTCCCTGCATTTCTCAATAAACTATGCTTTATGTGCTTTTTCTGAAATTCAGCCTGTGTTCTTACTGATTTTTTTTTAAGACTTATCTATGGACTTCATTTCTGTTTTATATATTCCTTTATCTTGAGCATCCCAGCTCTAAAATTATTCCAAATTACCTTTCTTTAATATCAAAAGTTATTGTTTGCATGCAAAACTGGAAAGCACTCTCCTTCTTATCATTGTGTGTGGGAGAAATAGCAGAGGACTCAGATTTCAGTTCTGACCCTAGCTCCTTCGTGAGTCAGCTGTGTGTCCTTGATCAGATGAGGGCAGCCAGAAGATGAGCTGCCTGCTCTGTGTACTCAGTCCTGACTGCCCATTTCTACCCTGCAGCTGTCTGCTAGCTGATTACTTGGGTATGTTTGGGGTTGTAGGGCAAAGATGGACCATAGTTATTTTAGGAACCAGAAAAAGTCTCTCTTAGGATGTAAACTGTGTAATCTAGAGTTACAAAGAATTGACATTATAGTTATGCCGAAACAAGATGAGATGAATAGTCTTACTAATTGAAATTGGCATGAAGTCACTGTAACTTCAGCTGTCCTCAGATTAAGGACCTTAACTTCAGAACCTTAGCCATTTCCTCTCTGTTCAGGAGGTGTGATCTTCCATCTCCTGTAGATAAATTAAGTTTACATTAAGCTCACTTCAGTTCAGAAACACATCAGATCACATATCCTTTCAGCCTTTTAACCAATCTTTTGATTTCAGATCCAGAAAGGGAAGGTCCATGGAAGCATCGATGTGGGACTCTCTGTCATGTCAATTAAAAAGAAAGCTCGGAGAATAGACCTTGATACCGAAGAACACATCTATCATTTGAAGGTAAAGACACCTTAAAATGGTTTCTCTGCCAATATCTGGGAAATCATTTGCATAGACTAGTGGTTAGACAGGATATTGGCTTCACCATTACCTATTCCTCCTTTTTAATTGTTGTAGGTGAAATCCCAGGACTGGTTTGATGCATGGGTCTCCAAACTGCGCCATCATCGGTTGTATCGGCAGAATGAAATTGTGAGATCCCCACGAGATGCTAGTTTTCACATATTTCCTTCAACCTCCACAGCTGAATCCTCACCAGCTGCTAATGTTTCAGTTGTGGATGGAAAGGTATGACTTCATTATATAAAAGTCAGCCCAGAAATTGCTTGGAAGATTATGCAGACATATTTACTGAGTCTCATTTGACAAACCAGGAAGAAAAGGTTGGCTTTGTAAACTAACTCTCAGAAAACAATAGTGACATTTAGCATCAAAGTTAATTACAAGTATAGAGTAGATTAGATGGAAATGTGGATCACCAAGAGAATTAACAGTTACTTTTCCTATAAATGGACTATACCTTAATTTTACATGGCTTTATAAGCATATTAGAGAGTAGGGTGAACATTTGGTTAATCAGCACCTAGAAATCAATGTCTTCCTGGGTGGTAATAAGAAGACCACAGTGTTTTCAGAATGAAACTTGCTTTTTTGCCTTGAGCTGTAATACATACATGACCATGAAAGAGACCAGTGAATTTCCCCATGATAAGGCAAGTGGGCAAGAGATTGCAACAGTAACATAAGTAGTGGCATGTTTGAGACTAGGCACTGTGTTAAGCGTTGGACATTCATTCATCACTAATCTTTAATATAGCCAAAGCTCAGAGACAGTTAAGCATTTTTCCAGAAGACATTATCAGCTGAGCCTTCATCTCAGCTTCATCTGAGTCTTCATCTTTGTTTCCAAAATTGGTGTCTTTTCCATTGTACCAGATTAAGGGAGACTGAAGCTATTCTTTGGGCTGTTTTTTTCTGTGTTGTTGAAAAACTAGAGGTGTTATCTGTTAAAAACCAAGGCTAAGTCAATGGAACAGGGAGAAAGCTGTTTTTGCCTTTGCTGCAATAATTGGGTTTTCTGAACCATAGCCACATTGAACTACCCAGGAGTCTTCCAGTTTCTTACTTGGCACCTGATATTGAGAATAGAGACATCTGTGAACAACTGGCTGCCACAGGGAACTGAGTTCAAGTGTGTTTCAGTGAAGGTTCTGCTTTTCTCTGTTTTCCTACGTAGGGATATATGGACTAACATATATCCAAGTTTCCTTACAAAGCATTGAAAAACCTCATGGGGTAACTGGAAGACTCATCAAATCAGATTAAATTAAATACAGCTGTATTTAGCTATTGCTGTTTTGATGGAAATTACTGAAGTAATTTTTGTTAAATCCTGTTAATTATATTCGGTTGACCCAAAATTTCATCCAGGTTTTTCCATAACATCCTACAGAAACACGCAAAAGAACTTTTTGGCTAACCCAGTATTTCACAAGGCTCTCAAACGTATTTCATTCTGAAATATCTCTCTCCTAGAAACAGGGTGTTAGATTAACCCTAATACTAACTGCTTCTGAAATATAAGAAAATGAACCAATTGTTGTTTAGTCACTAAGTCATGTCCAACTCTTTTGTGACCCCATGGACTCTGCCAGGCTCCTCTGTCTGTGGGATTTTTCAGGCAAGAATACTGGAGTAGGTTGCCATTTCCTTCTCTAGGGGACTAATGAATCAGTTATTAGGGAACAGGTCACTTACTGAGTAACACACACAAGATGTTCAAGATAGTCCCCAAGATTCTCTGGGCCTCCTGTGTTCTCATCACAAAATGGAATGAATCCCAGAGTTAGTCCAAATTAAACAAGAAATGTATTCTAGATGGATATTAAAAATACATACATATTTAATCATTTGGTTCTTCCAGCTTCTGCCTGTGTCTTTGGCACAGTGTTGATAAAAGATGTATTATTTTCATCTCTTGTGTTATGTATTAAATCACTTGGGTGACATCTGAGAATGGAGAACTGAAACCAAATCCTCCCCATTGTTTGCCTTGGAATAAGAAAAGGCTTCAGCTCTGGTTTTCATAGATGTATTGCTCTCATTACAAACGACATACCGCTAAGATCTAACTTGGTGAAAGATTTCCATTACATTTATCAAAGTGCAATAAAGAGTGAAAAGAGCTTTTTATCACTTTGCTTGCATTCTAGGCATCAAATGATGAGGTTCCAGAATGTTAATTGCTTTGTGGCCCTGTGTGGGTAATAAATAAGTCTGGGTTTGCTAAGCATGCACATCCTTCACTTCATAATGATTTACAAGAGACACAATCAGTTGTAATTGAATATTAAAGTTAGATATGGAGTTTTAAAGTTGTTTCAGGTTTAGGGGAATACGTTTCTGCTTTTTTCTTGGAGTGTTTCTTACACTCACTTTAGTATCTACATACTTCATACAACTTTATTTCACATAAAATCTCTTTAACAGAAAGTCTGTCAGCTATAGATAATAATAACTTGCCAAGGTTGGCTTTTTTTTTTTTTTTTTTTTTTTGCCATGCTGTGTGGCTTGTAGAATCTTACTTTGCTGACCAGGGATTGAACCCAGGCCCCCATCAGTGAAAGTGCTGAATCCTCACCACTGGAGTGCCAGGGAATTCCCAAGACTGCCATTTTATATGTTACAGTTTTCAATATGCAATGCCATACTGAATATGCAGTTTTCAATATTTTGATGGAAAGGATGCTTGCTGGTGCATAATGTATTTAAGAATCACAAGTGGCTGATAACACCATGAGTTAGTCATAAGGGTACAGAGAGCTTTCAAAAAGTAAAGGCCTTCAGTCGTGAGTTGAGGACTGCAAGAAGGACACTATCAACCATAACTTAGTGAGTAATCAAAAACCATTGAAAATTTGAGTTGGCAGGTCCTTGCAAGTATAACATTCATAAATATTGTCTGCTTCATTGTACAGTGGAGATGGCAGCTTAACAAATGTTGTGATCACCTATGAAATTTGACTCCCCTGAGCTTGGACCACATTTAGCCAAGAGGCTTCTTCCATATTTTGAGCTTGCCCTTTCCCCCCCCTTTTTTAAATGTCTCTTTGAGGAGGCTAGTGTTCTTTTTAGTCATTTACATGTACTATTCCTGCCTAACCCTACACACTTTTCTGTTCACTGTAGGTGCAGCCAAACAGCTTTCCATGGCAGTCCCCTCTGCCCTGTAGCAGCAGCCTCCCTGCAACCTGCACGACCGGCCAGAGCAAGGTGGCAGCCTGGCTCCAGGACTCGGAAGAGATGGACAGGTGTGCGGAAGGTCAGTTCATGCCCAGCGTGGGCTCTCAGGGTGAGCCAACAAGACAGACACGAAAGGGGCAAATTCTATGGGTCCTGCACCTTTCAGGTTTCTTACCTGTCCATTCCCCTGCACCCTCAGAACTACTGAATCTGGTTTCACCCCTACGCTGACTCCCACCCACTTCAACCCTCTCACCTCATTTCCTCAGCAGTTTCCTCTGGCTTCCTTAGCCTCCCACACCCTGGACCCTGGGGGCGATCACCCAGCTGAGTGCTTCCTCGGGAGCAGCCTCCACCCTCTCTCCTGACAGTCCACTAGGTCACTTACATGGCCGCCTTCTCTGCTGCTCTGTCTGGCCCACAGAACAGTGTGTATTCCCCAACTACCAGCAATAAACAGCCATGTTATACTGCATCTTATAGCCACAGTTGCCTGGTGTGGTGTCCCACTGTGGATCAAAGACTCTGAACTAGTACACAATTCCTTCATTATACCATCTCTTAGCCTCTTGACCTGCAGAAGCTTTTTCCTTCCATGTCATGAACCTGAGCATGTTGGTTCAAACTGGATCCCCAGACCATTTCCAGTCTGTGAGACGGCTTTCATTTGACATTCAAAAATGAAAAAAAAAAATAATAACAGGTATTTAATAAATCTAAATTGATTTAATTTTTAAATTATTTTTAGGTGATATTGGGCCTCTTTTTTTAATATTAAATGTTTTCCTTTATAAAGTTATGGCGAAAGGAGATGTTACATTATTGTGTGACCTCGGTTAGAAAAATTGAAATTTGGTGATCTGGGTTCATGCCCTGACCAAAACAAGTTTTTTTTGGCTCTACACATGTGTGAACTCAAAGTCTGCAGCATTTTTATTAGTTCTCACAACATCCCAAGCTCAGTATTTATGTGAAAAATATGACTTTAAGGGGGATGTTATATTCATGAAGTGTGTCAAGCTGACATTCCATTGAAAAGATTTTACTTGCGTGTATACACAAAACACAGATATCACTTTACCTTTGTGAACTTCAGGTTGGGGAAGAGGCCGAGCTCACGGTCCTACATACGGAAGACTCGCTCACCTCTGCGGCTGTGCCAGTCTCCTCTCCTTTCTGCCTCCTTGTACATGCTTGTGGCGTTCAACCTGGCCACTAACGTTGTTGAAAAGATGGAGACTGTCCACCGGGACAGAAGTGCATTCGTGTGACCAAGATAGACAGACATTGGCTGTGATGCCAAGAAGCCCCTGACTGGTGGGGGATGTCTCTGCGTCCCTGTGTGCTTCTGAATACTCTGTGGCCCGTCCCTGTGCCCTTTGGCCAGTCTCGGGGGTGACCCTCCTTTCTCCCCATCCTGACGTCTCCATATGTGTCCTCATCCTGCCGTTCTCTTCTCCTTCAGGATTTAGTGGAGGAATGATCTCTTCTCTTGGAAACAACCAAGTCTCCCACTTTCCTTGTTCCTGCCTACAGACTCCAGCTTCTCTCCCCTAAGGTGACTTGGCCCTTATGACCCTATGGCCAAAGCATTCTTGGCAACAAGAGGCCATCTGATTTCTGCTGTGTTCTCAAGCCTCATCCTCTGACCCGCCCTGCAAGACCTTGTTTAATGAGCCTCCACTTTTAGGTCCTGTGAAGTTTTCCCTTTTTTTCCAGTTGTTCCTCCTTTATTTCACTGGGATTCTACTCTGGTCAGCCTTGGTTGTGGAGATGATCAAGATTGAGTATTCTGCTTTTAGCTTCAATAATAATAAGCTTAGTTTATTGAGTGCTCATGTGGGTCAGGCACGGAGTTAAGTGCTTTACATATGTGGTCTTTCATACATTTTCAGAATAGTACCAAGCAGGAATTATGAGCCACATTTTTATAAATAGGAAAACCACAGCTCAGAGAGGTCGAGTAACTTGTCCATGTTACGCAGCAAGTACTTGGCAGAGCTGCAGGGCTAACCCTGATCAACTTGATCCTAATGACCATGCTCAGTGCTTTGGAAACAATAGGCATGCTCTAACCACAGTGAGTGATAGCGATAGTGATGATAAGATGGCAGTGGTCGTGGTGGCAGTTGACAGGATGGGTCACGTCTTGTGCGGCAGGCGCTGTTCTAGGTGTTTTGTATGCATTGACTCATTTGATCCTCTCAATGCTGCTTTACAGGTGAGAAAACATAGGTTCAGAGAAGTCGGGTCACTTTAACCAAGTTGACACAGCTAGTGATAGTGGAGCTGGCATTCAGACTCGTGATCTGAGTCCGGAGCGTGTGCTCTTAATCACCGTACCATATCTCCCTCAGAAAGGCGGAACACTCTTTGTGTCTCAGACCTGTGCCCAGCCTGTGCTGCATTCCCACCCGCTCCCCTTACTGTTGACCCTTTCTGTTGATGCACTCGGTCACGCTGTCTCCTCAGCCTGTCAAAACCCAGTTCTGTCTCCTCTGTGAAAACGGCCCCAGTTCCTGGATTCCCCTGTGTTTGTCAGTGCTGCCGTCATAACCACTCCTGAAACCTCTGTCATCTCTGCCCCACCCAACCTGTCCATCCCACTGAGGCTGAGGTCGTTGTTTCTTTGGAACCACTCCCCCTCATCTGCCTTCCTCTGGAATTCCATTTCTGCCAGCCTAACTCATGCTCCCTCATGCCTCTGACTGGTACCCACACCCTCAGTCTCTTGCTCTGTGACTCCATGGCTCTCAGAGGCTCCTGGGGAACTCCTCTTCTTGGATGTGTTCACGGATGGCGCCAGCACTTAGCAGGCATCATCCCATTGCCCTTGGCTATGAGATATATGTATTACTGCTGCCCCCACTTTGCCGATGAGGAAAGTGAAATGCGTGGAGGTTAAGGAATCTTCACAGTTATGCACTGCCCTGATGGAGAGGCTGGGGCTCCAGCCAACCCACAGACTCCAGCCAACCCACATTTAGTAATCCCAAAGCCAATTCTTTGTTCACTATATAAAATATGTAGTCCCTTAAGACCACTATTTCTTAAAATAACTTTTTGCAAACATCTCTTCGAGTGGTTTTCTGTGGACTCTTGGGCTGTAGTCCAAACTACTTAGCCCAGCATTTAACATCCAACTTTCAGCTTTCTAGACCTGCCTACCCTTTCAACCTTGCCTTCCATAGGCCGAATTAAATTTACGTTCTATCTCCAGAGTGTCCTTGCACGTTCCTGCCTCCACGCCTTCGCACAGGCTGTTCTCAACCTGCTGTGACCACTCTGCCCTTCTCCATCTTCCTAGTTTTCTGGATCCTCTGTCAATCCTCCAGACCCACAAAAGTTTCTCCTGTCTTATCTACTCTGACAACCTCAAACCACAGTAACTATCCCTTTCTTGAACTACCACAGCACTTTTTTCTTTTGTCTATTCTGATTATTTTATAGAGTCCCATTACTGAGGTTGGTTGCAATTCAAACGTTCATCATGTAACATCTTCTTGAACCCATAACACAGTACATTTATAGTTCCAGTACTTAAAGAGGTTAGCTATTCATAGGTCTGGATGTCTGTCAGTCCAGAGCTTAAGTATATAAGGGAGTTTCTTAGCTCTTGGAGAGCACTTTTTCTCACAGACGCAAAATGTTAAATTAGTATTTTATGTGCCTTCCTTGTGTACCAGTATATGCCATCACTGAAACAGGTGCATAATAGTTAAGGTACAGATTATTTATTGTATATATTTTCTTTAAGCCAGAATGTAAGTTCCATAAATCTTACTTTATTGCTATATTCCCTATGCTTAAAACTGTGCTGGTTACATAGTATCTTCCTAATCAGTGGTACCGAAATGAAATAGTAAATGGATAACTTTGGATGTGCTCTGAGTACGTAGTCATCAGTTGTGTCCGACTGTTTGCAACCCTTTGGATTCTGGTCCACAACGCTGCTCTTTGTGTGGGATTTTCCAGTAAGAATACTGGAGTGGGTTGCCATTTCCTTCTTAGGGGATCTTCCTGACCCAGGAATCAAACCTGTGTCTCCTGTATTGCAGGCAGATTCTTTACCCACTGAACCATCGGGGAACCTTAATTTATTTAATCATTGCACAATTGGATAACATGTTTCTTTTTATTTTTTAATTTAACTTTTTATTTTATGTTAGAGTATAGTTGACTTACAATGTTATGTTCATTTCAGCAAGGCAGTTCAGTTATACATATACATATATTCACTCTTCCAGATTCTTTTCCCATATAGTTTATTACAGAATATTGGATAGAGTTCTTTTTAGGACTAAGTAGGGATGATAAGAAAATAAGTAAACTGCTATATACTTAAGTTTTCAACTTTTTACCATAATAAACTATCTCAACAGTCCTTTCTTGGAGTAATTTTTCCTTTTTCCCAGATTCTAAAAGTAGATTTAATCTTGATTTAATGAAATTCTAGAGATTTTTTTAAAAAGGTATTTTTATTGTCTTGGGTAAATTTTTATAATCCTTATGTACAGCCAAACACCTAGGCAAGGAGTAAAATTCTGCCAAGGATTTAATTTCTTCCATATTTTAAATGATAGGAGTGTCAAGAAGTGGTGAGGCTCATTCCAAATTAAGGCTCTAGAAGAATGATTAAACATAATGCAATTAATATTCCATAAAGACAGTTTCTAGTTTTCAGAAAATTTTCTCATCTATAGTCTCAGTTGCAACTTTCATTAAGAAGGCAAGAGAGTAAATATTAACTGTTACCATTCAACAGGTAAGAAAACTACAGCTGAGAAAAATAAAATAAATCACTGTTTCCCAACCCTTAGTTTTGAATCCTTTTGCCTTCAATCAAATCCATTCACCAAGTTCTATTTCCCTTCTGTTAGAAAGGGTTTTAAGCCCCATTTTCAGATCTCTATACTACCTACATATACCATTTGTATAGAATAATCACAGTTATTAAGAAGAATGAATGTAATATTTAGCAAATAGAATGCTTAATGGATAGGTAGTGTTAGGTTATGTCCCTGTCAGCATGGCGCTTATGATGCAGCTTTAAGGCAAGTTAAAATAAGGTCTCTCTTCACCATCTTTCTCCTCTTCCCTCCAACCCCTTCCTTCTTTCTTTGTATTGCTTTTCTCTCTCATCTCTTCCCTTTTATCTTTTGTATTTCCTACCCATCTGAGCCACTTGTTTTATTTTCTTTGTGGGGGAAATGGGAGGAGTACAATGGTGCTGCCCCCCCTGAAATGAGGAGGGGGTGATGGAAGGGTCCTGGCCTCCTCGGTATTGTCTCCTGCCACCTCCGTTGGTCATTTCGTCTCTTGAGGAATGTAAAGGTCACTGATGGCCAAGAGTTCCCCGGAAGAGCCACAGCAGCACTTGAATAACTCACCCAGACCCCAGCCTGGGGCAGATGCTGCTGAGAGATGGAGCCTGGGTGGGCCTGGCCCCTAGTGTATTGCTGCTGCCCTGCTCTCTGTAGGGTGTGCAGGCGTTCTGAGTCCTACACACGAACACCTTCACAGCAGGTAGGCAGGTTCCTAACAGCAAAACTGGACGACCACTGAAGTTCCCTGGAGAGTGCTTCTGATGTGACAACGGCCGTCTCAGCAGAATCTCCCAATTTCACTGAGATTTTAATAGCTTTCTTACTAATTGTTCATCTGTAAGAGTGGGTTTTGAACTCATGCAGCAAATAATCAATGGTTTTATAGTTCTAAACTAGAGAAGGGTCTGTTTTCTTTCATTTGCCAGTATCATCGTCCTGTAAACTTAGATCTACCTTATCATATTTGCCATAATTTGGATAGACTGCCTTTTTTATCATCACCACCACTTCCTGCCCAGTTGTAACATATTTTTATTTCTAATCTGTTTTAGACCTTGCACACTGCCAGTCAAACCTTGTGGAACTTAGCAAACTCCTGCAAAATTTGGAAATACTTCAGAGAACTCAGTCAGCACCTAACTTTACTGACATGCAGGTAAAGATATTACAGCTGCTTGTCAAAGGAACTTAAAATATTCACTCAGAATTTTTACTGGATTGTTATATGAATATATAAGGTAATATTTAAAGGGATATAACTATAATACAGATTAGTTTATATTCTGGAGTTATTCTTAATATTTTTGAATCTTGGTGTCATTGTGTTAAGATGTCTTTTTTAAAATGTTGTACATTTAAATACAGACTAACTATAAGTGAATATCTGAGTCATTCTTCTACATTTATGTTGCATTAGAAATTATAATTATGAAGGTATAATTTGGGTCCTGTAAGAATTTGTGCTATCTTTTCAAGTAGCAAAAAAACACCAAAGATCTCTAATCCTATTTTCATTTTGTATAGCAGAAAAATGTGTTTTGTTTTTGTCTCTGCTTTTAATACCCTTTATGCATCAGATGCACCTTTATCTCCTGGCTGGTTTGCTTTAGGTATCTAACAATGATTCTTTATTAACTTGCTGTGCTCTCTTTGTCTATGCCTGTATTATCTGTGTTAACTTAATAATGCTTTGTTGCTTTTAACTATTTATGCAATGTAGGCTAACTGTGTAGATATTTCAAAGAAAGACAAGCGGGTCACAAGACGATGGAGAACAAAAAGTGTCAGCAAAGATACAAAAATACAACTGCAGGTACAGGCCTTACTTTTCCTTCATTCATATTTATAGATTTTTTTAAATATTAGTATTTATATATCAGTTCTTAGAAGTTTAAAAGTTTAAAGCAACTGTTAACTGCTTTAAAGCTAGTGCTTTTCAGACTGAGTTATATTACCTAAAATAGTGAGAAATCTATTCTTATTGTGGCATAAGTAAAAAGAATGTAAAAGAAAGCTTAAAATTATGTAATACAGCTGTCTACTGGCATTTTCATTCTCAGTTATGGCCATTGAACCTTATTTTAACAAAAAGTCACCTTAAAAATCTAGACTAAAAATCAAATGGGTTGTAATGAACATTTACATATACTAAATCTTAAAAGAGCCTTTTCTGTGTCAGTGTTGTCCAATCTTATATCTATCAATACATGAGATGAAGACTGCAGTAGGTTAGAAATGAACAAACTTGGGTTCTAGTCTAATCACTGTGATTTCCTGGCAGTATAATCTCATTTATTTCTATTAAATTGTCTGGGCTTCCATTAACTTCTGGGTAAAGTGATAGAGTTGCTTTAGTGATCTCTGAATTGCCTTTCAACTCTAAAATTCTGTGATTCTACAAAAATAGATATTATTGGCCACCAACAGCCACTTTTAAAATTTGAACTAATGTCTTCATGATTCATAATAAATTTACTTAAAATTCATTTAAAATAAGTTATATGAATAGTTGAAAATTTTTAAAGTAAGATCCTCTTATGTCATTGCATTGCAATGATACAAAATATGGTAAATGCCTACAACCTCTCATGTTAAAATTCATGTTACTTTCAGATCTTTAAGCTTGAAATTTTACCACTCCAGTCCTAACTATATATTAATATTATAAAGGACTCTTGCCCTGCACAATCAGAATTAGACTTCTTATTTTGCTTTTCTTTTTGTTATGCTATAAATTCAATCTGTAACACAAAAGAAGGACTGCTTTTTAGAATATTTCAGTGTCTTTTAAATAAGAACAATAATTCTTTCTTAATTCTGATTTTATTGATAACATTCTTTGTGTTTTAATTCTAAATGTGTAAATAACCAATTCTTTGTTACTTTGCTTACTAATCTGATTTATTTGAAAATAGATTTTTGCAAGCAATAAAGATCTATTTTTTTTTTTATTTAGAATGTCCACATTGTGTGAACACAATGTTTTGTGGTCTTTTGTTCAGTATGTTTTTCTGTTTTTTCCCTTCTATTCAAAAAATTAATACTGTAGAGACAAATGTGCCAAATGACTTCACAAGGAAATTGCCTAAAATTGCTTTTGGGAGTACCATATTTTTGAGCAAGTGATTGTCTAGTTTTGTGTGTGTATTTTTAAAACATAGTATCTATGGTTATCATAGGCAGGAAAAGAGAACCTTAACTGTAAATAGAATAACTGAAGAAGGCCAGCATCATAGGAACATGCACAGATGTGGGTAGATACCATTTCAATCTTGGTTTTTATAAGATATCCCATTGAACATATTGCCATTCACAACTATGGTCTGGAGTAGGTTGGTTCTCAGTGACTGAGCACAGTACCACTGGCTGTCTTGTTACAGTTTCGAGGACCACCACAGTCACTCACTCACAAACAGAATGCCACTCTGAATAACCCTCCCATTCACGGGCTGTGCTTTTCAATGTGTGGAGAGTTTGATGAAGGTTTTTCTTTTTTTTAATCATCCAAAGAAGTTGTTCAAAAAGCAGGAAAATACTCTTCTTTCATATTTATATGACATTTGGGGGTTGATTGTTCTTAAAGTTTCATTTATGCTCTATTGCCTTGTTTCTCTTTTGCCAAAGAGTGGCAAAATGGCCCTTGTGATTCTAGTTTAATTATTTGGGTGAGAATTGAAATCATTTCATCCCCATACTCAAAGAAAATGTTAAACTTTCAAAGTAGGAAATTTAGTTCCAACTCCAGTGGAAATAAATAGACATAAGGGTGGTGGTAAGCTGTTAGTCGTTCCCAGAAAAACCTCACTTCCACTTGAAATGGTAAAACAAAGGATCATAGGGTGAATGCTACAGAATTTAGTACAACCCCTAGACTTTTTCTGCTCACTCAAACCAGCGACCTTCCAAGACCCCTTAGAATGCTCATTCTCTATGACTGTGAAGTTACCAGAAGTTTCTTCGCCATCATACCTTACTGGGGAACCATAAAAATTAGCCAGCGATGACTATGACTAATATGAATGTCATTACTCATCAGTTTTTTACCTACAGAAAGGCATAGCATTTATTTTCACTGTGATGGATTAAACATATCCACCACTTTCTCCCACCCTAATATTGCAGATTTCCTCCTCCTGTTTTAAATGTTTCTTGACCATTAGAACTGCATCTCGTGGTTCCAGGTATTTGTTTGGAGCTCATAATGGTCTCACTACTTGAATCACTTTCTCTGAATGAGAGGCTTTTTTTGCAGTAAATGGCTCATTTTTCGTCCTCTCTGTCATTTGGAACATTTAGTCCACCAGCCATTTATGGAGGAAATCTAAACTGTCTTGTGGTGGTGGTGGCAGTGGTTACTATTACTTCTGTTGTTGTTATGGATCTTGTTTTATGGAACTTGGTCTTTAGCATTCTGTAGTTGTAATTTTTGAAATAATTATAAAATAGATCATTTTAAAAATTGACCTCAGAAAAGTAAAAAATGAAGAACATGTTAAACTAGATGTTTGATTGCTTATTCTTACATAAGTACACTATTGATTTTAATGTGAATGTTAAAATTTGGACCACATTTCTACATGAAGCTACTGGGAAGTTAGCTCAAGAATCCATTGAGTAATTCATTGGAGGCAATAGGTGTCCTTGAAGTCTCTGTGGAATTACCTGTTAGGAGAAATATTCCCTGTGTCCCAAAGTTCAAATTTCTGGTTCTAATAAAAGTCTCAGTATCATCATTATGCAATAAAACAGTTTGGTTGTGTTTTAAATGAGTGGAGGATGGCAAAAAGAGAATGATTTTATAAGGGTTGCTGGAGAAGAGATTACTGCCAGATTTCCTGTGTTAGTAATAGCATGAATTAAATACTAGGTCCCTAGGTATTGGAGAGAATGAGAAATAGTTGGAGGTATGGGGTAGCAGGTAAATGATCTGTTGTCATTCATTCATCCTGGATCTCACAGGAGCTCAAATTACACTGAAGAGTAAAACTACATTCTTTCTCTTTTTTTTTTTAACTACATTAGGCATAAAGAGATTTTGTATAGAAAATGTTTTGTCTGAAACCGATTATGTATGTGTGTTTGTGTTTAATAATTATATACGTGTATATACACAAAGGAATTGTGAAGATGGAAGAGAAATGTGAATGTAATTTGGAAAATTTAAAGAGAATTGGAGGTATAAGAATTTAAAATATTTTCCTGTTGTGAAAAAAGACTAACATAGCCATGCTGTTGTTGTTTTTTTTTTTTCCTCAGTCTGACTGTTATGTGACTCTGAGAACATTTCAGTTAATTGGAACTGAAATTAATTCTCACAACCTTGAAGAGTCAGGGTCTGTCAAATGCAGGCACAGTTGAGTTGATTAGAAGGATTATCCCTTAATCCTGTCCACAAAAAAGAGAAGAAAGAAAGAAAAGCTCTAAGAGTCTTCTACTGGCCTAGGTGCACATTACTAAATGAAACATAGGCCTTCAGGTTTTCATAGTTGATTTTTATAGGTGTTGTCCCAACACACTGAGGACATTGAGATTTACCTTCCTATTCTATGGGGACTGGCTTCCTCCTTGGAAAATTCTTCAATCCGAAAATCCCAACACCATTCTTAATACTGAATCCCAGAGACCTTTATAGGAGGAGAGAAAGTGGGGAGTTGAATATTCCTGGTATCCTTCCCCTTACTTTTCCTCCCAGCAAGAAACAAAAAAATTCTTCCTGGCCAACAGGAGGCTCTCATTACAACCTGTTTGTTTTAGCCTTTGCATTTTATTTATTTAGTCACTTTCCCCTGCACTTATTTTTCCTTTGCTTCCATTTACCGAATGGCCTTTTGGCTTCATATAACATGGCATTGCATGAATAAAACAAAAGGTACATTGATTTTACCTTGAAACCGTAAGCTCTTCATCGCTTCATAACTTTCCATCTCCTTTTGGGGTAGGGGTTATAGTCGGCAAATAGATTTAAGTGTTTGGGTGGTCTGCCATGATAAACTTTTCTCATGGCGTGAACGTTCTTTCAGGCTCTTTTCAATGCTAAGATTTAGCAAAAGGCAACTTCAGTTAAGAATTCTCCCTCTCCCCTGTCTGACTGTCTTTCATCCTCCCGTATCCTCCCCCTGCCCCGCCCCACCCTGTGTTTTCTGCCCCCTCCTCTTCTCATTCACTGTCAGGAAGGGCCAGCTGCGAAGGGCCAGTTCAGCACAGCTCGGCGCCGGCAGAGGCTAGCAGCGGCAGTGGCCACAACAGTGAGTGGATTTCAATCTCCAGTGGATGTTTAAAGAGAATGAGAGGCTGTGCACTGCTCTCATGCCCCTGCTCTAAGGGTGCCACTTGCGGGGACGGCAGCAAGCACAGCCTCCTGGGTTGGCGGAGCTCTCACGTGTTCTGTGTCTGCGTGGCAGGCGTCTCACACACACGGGTGTTTGGGTTTGCAGCGGAAAACCATCATGCGATCCAGATCTCTACTCCCACTCTCAGGGTTAGAGACAGTTTAAATTCAAGGATGTGTGTGGGATTTCCTTAAATGGTATGGGCTAGGGAGGGGTGGGGTTGGTTTTTGTTTGGTTTGGCTTTTTGCCATACTGATCTTAGAACCTTTGCTAACTGATTTCGGTTTTTCTAAGCAAAGTCAGTTACTACAGACATAAGTTGTGCTTTTTTGGTCGCAATGTGACTGTTTGAAAAGGTGAGAATAAAGAAATGAAAGGGTACAAAATGGTGAATTTTGATGCTATTTCTCGATGGCTATGAAAACTTACACTTAGCAAAGGAAAATTGTTTTCTGGAAAGAATATTGAGCTGAAAATCAGAAAATATAGTGTGGAAAGGAGAAAACCACAAAGTTAAATGGTGTTTAATTCACATCTAGATGTTGATTTGATTTTTTTTTTTTAAGAGAAAATAGTATGGATTTTAGGTGGATAGAGGAAGTATTGAGATAGATAAGGCAGATAACCAAAACTTGCTTAGAACAGTCAACTATCCACATGGAATATGAAATAGAATATGTAAACACAAGAAACTTATGCTGGATAAAAATACATCTAAATATTTGCTTAATCATAATATCCTATCAACTTTATAAATACAGAGTTCTGAGTTCATAGCAAACATTAGTTTTTTGGCTGGTGTATAATATTTCCTGAATTATGGTCTTGCTCTTGCTGCTGGTGTATTTTAAGACGAAAATTGCTGAAAAATATGAAAAGATTTTGGTTGCATTCTAAGAGAATGGATATCGGTGTATGGACTGTTGGTTTTATGCTTCATAATTAGTGACTGACTCTTGATTTATATCTGAGTACTTAACTGGATTGTTTAAGAGACAGAAATGATTTTGATTATGAAATGAACTAGTGACTTGGAATTTATTAGAGAAGTGACTGAAACTCACAGTTCTGTGAACATTTGAACAAAGAAATATTTTAAATTGATTTCATAGTTAGTGGTTATCTTACACATGTATTCAAATAAGATGAATTAAATACATGTAAAATCAATTTTAAAATTCTTAAATGTAACCTTTCATTTACAAAATTCAGAAATCCAAATGATTATTAGAGAACGGTATCTCAGTATGGAAAGGAAAGGTCAGTCATTTTATGAAAATACAAATGTTTCCTTAAATAATATACTTCTAAGATGGCATGCAGAAGTGATTGTATGTCTACTGTGTTCATTTTTAATTGCAGATAAATATATAATGAATATAATAAAACTGAAATTAGAGCCTATTTGAATAGAATAGGTTTATATTTTTTTTATTTGGAAGTGCAAGAGAAAAAGGTTTTGAAAGATGGAAGAATTAATGCTCACCTTCCCCGCAGGGTAACTGTGACCACAGAGGTTAAGAATAACTTAAAGCAACTAATGAGCAATGTTGGCACATTTAATCATATATTCAGGAATAACTAGAGGGAATGGGTATTCTAAACTCTCTAGGACCTATACTTTTAATTGCATACCGGAGCAGAGCAACATCTAGCAGGATCTAACAGAATCATTTCTGCCTCCCTCGGCCTCCTCACCCACATCTCAGTGACCTGTCACTGGCGACTCAGCCCTCCTCTTTCTTTGACTGCAGTGGTTCCCCTTAACTCCCTGTCATTCCTCCTCCCAAAACGAAAATTAGCCCACGTGTTTTGAGTCTATCCTATCCTGCTCGGTGCTTTTTATCTGGAATTTTTCCAGGAGGTTCCAGTCACTTGTTCTCCTTGCCCAACGCAGATGTGTTAGGGCAGCTGAGATTGCTCCCAGAGATAAGTACACCCAAAATGTTTCTGAGATTTGTTCTTGTTGATTCTTAGCACTCACATCCATGATGGTCCACTTAGGCCATCAGCCAGACCCATCAGAATAGGGGGATGGGAAAGAGAAACACTAGCGCCTGCCCGTGGGGGAGCCCTGAGAGTCCTAGTGCTCCTGGTCCTCCCCACAGGCACCCCTGTCCGCATGATGCAGAGTAACAGCAGCAGAGGCCTTCACTTTGGCTCTGTGAGCTGTGTATGCTGTGTCTTCCGTATACCTGCTGTTGTATGCTCTCTTTCTCGTCCTTGTTTGCCATTTTTTCTTCTCAGCATCTGATTGAACTTTTAATAGAGAGGCCTTTATCTTAGGAACAAGTCTGGGTCCTCACTGGACTCTCTAGGCCCCCACTGCACCCGGGCCTCCCATCACCCCCTCTCCCTCCCTACCCACCCAAGGGAGGAGACTGTGTCTTACACAGTGTTAGCCCCTGGAGTGTTAGGGTACCTGAGTGCAGGTAAAACCCTTTTACATGATCCTCAACACATTTCATTTTCCACCATCAAACACCTACATTCCTTTTTCTCAGATGCTCTCCTAGTTCCTTGTATCCTGAAACCACATCCTTAAATCTGCAAACTCCTTGGTCTGTCTATTTCTGCAAGTCACAGTCTCTGCCCATGACCTCCTCATCACCAACATTTCCATGGACTCTCTCTGTCCCTCCTAGAGGGCCTTGGGCTGTCTCTTCTTTCTATTAATAGATTTAATATCACCACAGTCATGATCAGCAATTTTTTTATCTGTCTTCAAACATTCTTCTACATAAATCCCATTCCTTTATAGATGTTCTAGAAAACCTCAATCATTATTGTCACAGAGTTGCCAGGATAGGATTCCAGCAAATTATTGAACCGGAGGACTCTGTTTTCTCATATGGGTTGTCTACACTTTAGTATCTGTTCTCTGGAAGAGTCATAAATTCAGTTGCTAATGAGATAAACAAGTTGTTGACATCTCCCAGCCCACTGTAGCCAAGAGCCCCATGGAGGATGAGGAAGAGTTACTCTGATGTCTCCAGATAACAAATGCTTCAGATATCCTATATTACCATGCTTAGCTTAGCTGAATCTGGGGAAAGCTTCATTCCCTCTTTCTTTCCTGGGAAGCCTGAATATCTTTTGAGATAAATAACTCCTTGCCAGGACCAAGCTGCATCCTGAGGACCCTCTTAAGTCTCAACTTCATCACCCAGACCCACAAACTGCAGCTCAGGCTAGATTTTGGGGGGTCTCTCCTTCCCCCCCATCCTCTATGTCCTCTGTGCACAGACACATGCTTGCTTGCTCCCTCTTGCCCCTTTGCGTCCCTTTTTCTATCATGAGATTTAAAGCTAAGTCAAAAAATGAAGAAAGGAAGAGGGTCTAGCATACCTATACATCAGACAAAATACTGGTTCCTTCCTCCTACAGCATATTTTCTGTTAGATAAAGGAGGTGAATTAGCTTTTAATTTATACAAAATTCAGCTTGTGAAGGTGTCTAAGTCTGGTTCTTGAAGGTAATTGAATGCATATCTGTGTAGTAAGAATTAGGGGAGGTTACTGGTGATCTGATTTATAAAAGGAATTGTCATTCTCATTCTTCAAGAATGGTTGGCTGACAGCATTTATAATGGTCAGGTAGAACCTTCTAGAAGGAGAGAGAAGGAGTATTTTGCCTCCACCCATCAGAAGCCTAGCCCAAATCCAAGGGCAAGGAAGTGCCTCTAGCCATTTGGGAAAATCTATAGTAGTATGACTTTATTTTACTTAATGCTTTTTGGCCAGTTCATAAGCCACGTTCATGTATGTGACAGAGTTGTGTGTCATATACAAAAGTAATGATAGTAATTTATGTAATATTTCATTTACAGATTTTTTTGATAAATCAATTTCAAATTTAATTGCGGGTCTCTTTAAGTCATTGTTATATGTAGTATTAAACTTATGTTTTATCTAATGACGATGGAGCAAGTGAATCTTTCTGTATATGCACCTCTTGAATTTTTACCTGTTCAGTGAATTCTTGCTCCAGACTCAGAAAGAAGGCGGCATAAAAAGCCATCTGACTTGAATACCCAGACCTTGTGAGAGAAGGTCAGCTACATCACAGTTCAGATTGCTTTCTGCCAGCATTGTTTCGGTGGGTTCAGAGCTGAAGCTTGTCTGGGATTATGCCTTTTCTTACTGTCATTTTGCCATCATCTCTCCCTGTGACAGTGAACAGCCCATGAGTCCGTAGCAGTACTAATTCAACTACGGGAAACTGAGATTCCTTCCTACCCGAACCACCTGCAAAATAGATGAGTACTATCTCCAAGTGTGTCGCCAGGGAGGAATCTGTTATTTTGGAGAACAGAATAAATTTCTGTGTAAGAGATTGTAGGACAATGTGCTGCTGCTCTTTAATCATTTGTGTCCTCCCTTTCAGGTTCCTTTCAGTGCCACCATGTCCCCCGTTCGCTTGCATTCCTCCAACCCCAACCTTTGTGCAGATATTGAATTTCAGACTCCCCCTAGCCACCTCACAGACCCTCTGGAAAGTTCAACGGATTATACAAAGCTTCAAGAAGAATTTTGTCTAATTGCACAGAAAGGTAACAATAAACATAATGTGGCCTTTATAGTGGCTCTCTGCCTTGATGGGAAGTTGCCATTCGTTCTCTTACCCTTGTCTAGGTGGTCATGGTGGCAAGGTCAAATGGTTTATATACTTTTTGCAGTTCTATAGATAAAACACAGTGGGATATGATGACTGCCTCCTGGGAAAACACACATCATAGGTTTTCAGTTTTGACTGAGGAGAGAAAGTATTATTGAGGGTGAGAAAAGGCAGAAAGACTAAAAGGGTGAAGTCTTTGATGTCTTTGATGATGTTCCTCCTTTTGCCTTCGGGCCTGGCACTAGGTTTTTAGGTCATCATAAATTAAAATTTGCTTTTTCTTCACTCAGAGAATATTAGGGTAATGGGATTATCTGTTTATTCTCTGAATTTGCAGAGTCAAACACTTAGGGAGAAAAATAAGATATTATGTTAGGCAGACGAGCCCACAATACTATTCAGCATCTTTTTTTTTTTATCATGTCATACATACTTGTGAGTTAGCAGATTCTGTTTGAAACCTTTTTTTTTTTTATTATATGGCACTCACTAATTTTACTTTACAGTTTGTGGCTGACGAATCAGGAGGGCTCAGCTAAGCAGTTCCTCTGTCCTCCGTGGCATCAGCTGGACTCTCTCCGTGGTATTCAGCTGGAAGCCTGGCTGAATGGTTCAAGGGGCCTTCACTGGCACTTTTGTTGGACAGCTTGGAGGCTGCAAACAACTCTGTCCCTCTCCTCTCCCCTTCCACGGCAGCTCAGGGCTCCGAGTGGAGTGGATTGCAATGGAAGTGGCCAACTCTGGGTCTGGAGCATTGTCCCTTCACTGCTAGTCCAGATTAGAGGGGAGTGGACATCCAGCCCACCTTGGAGTCTCTGTTTTGATGCTAAATGTTCAGTAAGTCATGTTACAGAAGCTCCACTGCTGTCATCAGGCACAGAGAGCAGTATCATAAATGAGAAGCAGGAGAGTGGAGAGCAGGAGGATTGGACAGTCCTGACTGTTCACCAAGAAGAGCCACAGCTCCTAAATTAATTCCCTCCCCTTAATGCTAAAGTATCTAAATTTCAGCCACTGACATTCATTTTTACCTCATAATAGTGCCTTCCCAGTCATTGTTTTTTGAAATTATAATCTTTAGGAGAAAGGCATTATGTTGTTTTCAGTCACTAACACCTTATTATGAATTTTTTGCATATATTTCTTCTGGGGCTACTGGCAAGAGGTTATGAAATATTCTTGAAAATGTGTGTCAAATGGAACATCTCAAGTACTGCCCCCCATAATATTCAAAAGCCTAGTGACTCGGGAAAAGGAGAGGTGCACCCTGAGGATATTTCTGAGAAAGCTGAAGTCAACAAAAATGCATACTCTCAAACCATCAGCAAAGATGTACTACCAGAGGTTTCTTTAATTCCACCATCCTGAAGCAACAAAAGTAAATCTTCTCCCCCCACCCACCTTTTTTTCTACAGATTTTTCAATTGAGATTCTGTAAGGCCAATTCTCTTTCACCTGTTTTACTCCTTGTACATTTTTATTATGTCTTAGCTGGATGCTAATCGTGTCATTAGACTAGAGCAATGCTAAATTATTTATGTAACAGCATAGATTTATGATCAGGAAGCCAGTGACTTTGACTTTTAATGCAAGATTGTAGGAACAGGTAAAATGAGGCAACAAATGTGTGAATTAAATATAGCACAGCTTCTCAACCTAGATGCCCATCAGCAGACCAATGGATGAGGAAGCTGTGGTACATATACACCATGGAATATTACTCAGCCATTAAAAAGAATTCATTTGAATCAGTTCTAATGAGATGGATGAAACTGGAGCCCATTATACAGAGCAAAGTAAGCCAGAAAGATAAAGACCATTACAGTATACTAACACATATATATGGAATTTAGAAAGATGGTAACGATAACCCTATATGCAAAACAGAAAAAGAGACTCCGATGTATAGAACAGACTTGTGGACTCTGGGAGAAGGCGAGGGTGGGATGTTTCAAGAGAACAGCATCGAAACACGTGTATTATCTAGGGTGAAACAGATCACCAGCCCAGGTTGGGTGCATGAGACAAGTGCTCGGGCCTGGTGCACTGGGAAGACCCAGAGGGATCGGGTGGAGAGGGAGGTGGGAGGGGGGACCGGGATGGGGAATACATGTAAATCCATGGCTAATTCATTTCAATGTATGACAAAAACCACTGCAATGATGTAAAGTAATTAGCCTCCAACTAATAAAAATAAATGAAAAAAAAAATAAATATAGCACAGCTTCTAAGGGAAGATGGATGAATTTGAAGGTAGCCCCAGGAAAGCTTTATGTATTTGGTTGCACTCCTGAGGCTTTCAGGTAATCCAAGTTTCAACAGACTTGTAAAGCCTTTGTTGAAACAGCATATTTTCTTTTCAGCCATGCTTGGGGAAAAAGGTGGCTTTTATATGACTATTGAGTGAACTCTTTAGGAGAAATTATGGATTTTGAAATGAATGAGAATCCACTTTTAGAGCTGCTAGTTGGGTTAATGTATTTCAGCTATCAAGTTATTACCTTAAAATTGATGACAACTGGAACGTAGCACATAAATCAATGAATTGTACATTCTTTATGATCCCCTTATTTTTCCCATTTAATTCAGGTCACTACTTTCTGCTAAATTTGTCCACTTCTTTTAAAAGTAACCTTTCTCTTACAAGGAAATCCCTATTTTAGAAGACTTTACATTTTGCAGAAACTGTTACTATAAAGATGAGTTGGAAATTCAACATTTTTATGTTTCAAAATTAAAGACTGCCCTGGATTTTTACAAATGTCTGTTGTTAGGTATGCAGAAATGAGGGTGGAGGTTGTTTTTAGTTGCCTTTATTTTGTTTTACTTTATTTCCAGCTTTATTGAGATAAAATGAACATGTAACATTGTATAAGTTCAAGGTATATATGTTGATTTGACATACTTATATACTGCAAAATAATTACTACCATAGGATAGCTAATATCTCCAACACATCACATAATTACCATTTCTTTTTTGTGGTAAGAACATTCGAGATCGACTCTCTTAACAAATTCAGGTAAATAATACGGTACTATTAACTATAACCATCCTGCAGATTAGATTCCCAGGACGTATTCATGTTATAACTGGTTGTTTGTATTCTTTGAAAGCACTTTTGATATCATGATGTTTTTGGCTGAGAAAGTAATGCAAGTGTTGTTCTTAAGACCAAATCATTTCAGCAAAACAGAAACAGAGTCACAGATGTAGAAAACAAAGTTATGGTTACCAGTGGGGGAAGAGGGAAAGGATAAACTGGGAGACTGAGATGAACATATCCACGTTATTATATATAAAATAGGTAACTAGGAAGGACATACTGTATAGCGCAAGGGATGCCACTCAGTACTCGGTATTGACCTATGTGGGAAAAGAATCTAAAAAATAGTGGATATGTGTATATTTATATAACTGATTTACTTTGCTATACAGCAGAAACTAACACATTTTAAATCAATGATACTCTGATAAATATTGAAAAAAAAAAAGACCAAATCATTTCCCACCACAAAGAGAACTAGCTCCAACTTCTAAAACAGCTGTTTGATTTATATTTGCAAGACTCATAAAATGCCCTCTTTTGGATGCATACTTTGGGGTGATAATTTGATAGTTCTAAATTATTTGCATGATACTTCATTGTACACATAACTGCCCAAGTATTATCATTGACTGTGGCAGAGTAAAATTTGTTCCCTTTTCCTTCTAGGAATTATAGGTTAGTTTCTAAGTATTGAAATTTAAAAATTGTTATTTAATATGCTGCTTCCAGGTCTTCATTGACTTATCTGGTATGAAATGCTAAAACTTTCATCCTGATTAATTACCATTCCCATATTTGTTTTGTATTTAGATATTCTGGTAGATTCCATTTTAAGGCTGACTTTCAATTAGACTGTAACATAACCTTTCAAGAAAATATTCATGAATGAGTTACAAGTGCTGATAAGTTTATAATTCTGTTTATTTTTCTGGATCCATTTGATCCTTGTCTCTTACTTTTCTCCCCACCCAGTGCATTCTCTTTTGAAGTCTGCGTTTAACAGCATAGCTATAGAGAAGGAGAAGCTTAAGCAGATGGTTTCTGAACAGGATCACAATAAAGGCCACAGCACGCAGATGGCACGGCTCCGACAGTCACTGTCTCAGGTAAATGAGAGTGTTTGTATCATTCTCAGGACATGTTCCTAACCCTCCAGGCCAACTGTGGGGGTGGAGACAGTCCATCATGGGAATGACACAGCTGTCTGAAATTCCCCCAAGCCATCACAGTGTCAATATTAAATTGTACTACTTTTCTTCCAAAAGATATCAAGGTAACAGTGACAATCAACCGAACTTGCGCAAACATAATTTATATTTTGGCTGATTATGATGCCCCTCTGTGGTCTTATAAGGCCATCCCTTGGTTTAAAAAACTAATGCATTTATACATGATTTACCTACACATCTAAACTGTCCAGACTATGTCCAATCCCATGTCAGACAAAATCTACCAGATCTTCCACACTTAGTATTTTTCCTACTTATGATGCATTTTAGTCTGTTGAAAGCTACTGATTACTATTACTTATTTTTTTACTCTTTTGATTTGCACTCTTAGGATTTTCTTCCTGTCTATGTTCCCTGAATCTAGACTCTAAAATTTCAGTATATATTTTACACTACAATATGTATTACTTAATATATATTATATTGATCTTATTAATACTAATCAAATCCCTATATATTTCAAGGTTGTAATTTCTGTTAAAAATCCTTTAAAACTACACTTCTGCTTTCTTAAAACTGAGCACTTCTTCTGAAAGTGCTTTTCTTCACTTCGTCTATAAATGCACCTTTAAAATTTCCTTTAAGACTTCAATGTTGTTATTGATTTTTGTGTGAGAACTCAGTGATTACATAAAATATTGTTCACTTCCTGGTGCCTTGGATCAGAGCGAAGGAGCAAGCAAATCCTGGGTAAGTGGTTTTCCATGTGGATCCGCTCCTGCTTGAACAGTTTCCCTCAGTTCCTGCAAATTAGACTTAAACTGTCTCACCATGTTTTATGTACCTGAACTGTCAGCTTCTTTTCAGTGTTAAGTTTCATGTTATTGAATGCTGTTGTCTGGGCCACACTTTCTGCTGTTTGCTGTTAAACACTGTCAGTTGAGGCACATATGCTGCTTGGAAACTCAAGAGCCTGCGCATTCAAAGCAATAACTGGGCGCCAGTTTGCAGAGGGCTTCCTTCACAAGCACCCTTTAATGGTTTGCCCTGGCCTGATCTCCTGTCATATATCTGTTGAACACCTTGTCCATCTTAATGGATCTACTGAATCATGATTCTAAAAAGGATCATAAATCAGAAAGATCAAAATAATGGCTAGTAAGCATCTTGTATGTCATCTTGCAAACATGTCAAATACACTTTTGTTTCCCTACATGCTGCAGTGTTTTATTCAGATGTACTAATGATTAAAGGCTTAGTGGTATGAAATAAGCTCGTACTAAGAAAAATGAGAAAATTTGCTTGTTTCTTGCTTGCTTGCTTTTTATTCGCTTCTTGGTAAGGCAGAGAATGGGCTTCCCTGGTGGCTGGTTAAGAATCTACCTGCAATGAGGGAGACCTGGGTTCTATCCCTGGGTTGGGAAGATTCCCTGGAGAAAGGAATGGCTACCCACTCCAGTGTTCTGGCCTGGAGAATCCCATGGACAGAGGAGCCTGGTGGGCTACGGCCCATGGGGTCACAAAGAGTCGGACATGACTGAAGTGACTTAGCAGCAGCAGCAGCAGCATAAAGAGAGTTATACCCTATCCACTAGAGAATCCCATGTTTCCAGTTCTGTGTTATCTCAGCATTTTGGCTGTGTTTACATCCTTGTGTCTATACGTACCTTCCCATTGGGTGGGGTCAGGAGAGAAGCCCAAGCTGGAGAGAAAGATGTGGATATCCCAGTATCTTGGTGAATTTATAGCTGTTGATAAATTGTGTTTTCAGTCAGAATAAAAGAGGTCAGTGGTGCTGCTGTAGTGAACATTAGTATTTAAAGACAAGCTGAAAAAAGAAAAGAGAATCCTTCGATGGAAACCCAGGGGGAACCACTGACGAATTTAGATAGCAATGACCACTGAGATCAAGAAGAAAGAGTTTTGATAATTTCAAGAACAAAAAGGTTAATAGGATCTGATTTAGCAGTAAATGATATATGGACTGAAAGTCAGCCTTGAAATTTCACAGTCACCTCAGTTTGTTTGTATCATAAAGAGAAAGAACTAACAGATAAGGAGACATTGAAGAGAGGGAACAGTTAACTGATGTTGCCATCCTGGTTGGCTAGCTCTATTATCCTCATTGTGCCTCTTCACATATAGGATTTAGGATTAAACAAGATATGAAACAGCTTGAGTATATTGAGACAGCTGTTCTGAGTATGTTTTTATATTAATATAATTTCACATTACAATGTGATTGCAGGTAGTCTAAAGACATCATTGATCCTTTTTCAAATGTCATCAGTTAGAACCCAGGTTTTTTTAAATGAATGATTTCCAAGCCAAATCTCCCCCTAGAAAGGGAAGGAGAGAGACTATTTAAATAACTTATTAGATTAGTCTAACATTTTGGAACTTATTTTTTATTTGATGTAAGTTCTATTTGATATATGTCTAATGGTTAAAATGCCGCTTTTCAATAAAACTTTTAAATATAACAACTTGGCAAATTCCATCATCCTTTTAGAAGGCACATAGCATAATAAAATATATAAAATTAGCATTTTTCACTACATGCTCAGCATAAATTTTTACCTGCCTTGAGTGTGTAGTGATTTGCAAGGCTGAACAGTGTAATGAATTTCTCTTCTATAGTAATATTTCACCCCTGATTTATACGTATACAGAGACATGCATAATTCTGATATTTTATTCCCATGAAGCTTTAAAAGCAAACTTTTACACCTGAAAGGCAGCATAGATGTTGGATTTACATCTGTAGGACAAGGTATTTTATCTCTCCTTTTATAAATGACTTTATTTCACATCAGCTATAATTTTATGTACTAAACACCAAAATCAAATAATATATAATAAGACTATGGTAAACTCAGCACTCTAGATTACTATAGTAAAAGATTCAGCATGAATGAGTCTGTCTTCAATACATTACACTTTGTCACTGTTACTAGTTTGATTTCTGACCCCAGAGTTTATGCACAACTTGTGCTAAATGCTTTGGGTGTTGTGTTCATACAAGTGTGAACAGTACAATGATTCTTGTACTCCATCTACAATTATTATATTTCATTAAATCAGTATGGCATTCATTGTTCAATATGCCATCATTCTGTGCACTACTAAGAAAGAAAACACTACTTTCAGTTAAACTGGCCAGTGCTTCAGAAGTGTTAATTTTGAGAACTGTGAATCTTAGAGTCAATGAAATGTGGTGTGTATGGGAATGTAAGCAAAAAATTGGCTTAAGGCACATGGCAGCATAATTAAAATCCCAGTCATAGTATATACCATCCTTCCTGTCTATAACATTTTATACATCCAAAATAAATATTCTGTATTGGAGTAAATGTTTTAAATATATTTGTTCCTAAATTTCACAGTTCCCTGAGACTTAGCCAAATTTGTTGTTTATGAAGATATTCTTCATAGAATCCTTTACATTTTTTTCTTTTAGCTATCCAGTAACTTTAAATCATTGTCATTTTGGGCATAATTTGGTAATGTTTATTTAAAACCTTCAAAGTATTTTATGCTTTGGTCCTTTGGTTGATGGCTGATATGCATAATCTAAGGGAGTAACGCTGAATGTAGAAAATGTATGCACATAAACACTCATGGCAGCATTATTTGTTCTAATAAAAATCAGTTAACATCATAAGTGCCCAATAGTAGAAAAATAACCACCTATTCCACAGTTACTAAAATCACATTTGTGAAGAGTTTGCAACATTAAATATATATCTTGTGTACCAAGAATAAATAGCGAAGGATATAGAGTATGTTTTTTTTGGTTCCCATTTTTTAATGTGAAAAATGCATAAGAAAAAAGCTAGAAAGAAATATACCAAGCTACCAAAAGTCGGTTGATTGAGTAGTAAGATATGAATTTTTTAGAAATATTTTTCTACTTTTTAGCATTTTCCAAATACACTATCTTAGTGTTAGTTTATTTTAAAATAGAAAACAAGGTGATTTTTAAGAGCCAGCCATGATTTGATTCTTGATAGCTCTAGCTTTGACAGTTGGGATACTCACATTCTCACTCCTTTTGAACCAGTTTTGCTTTTATCTGAAGAGTTTAAATCTTCCCATAACCCTCAACTCCATTCAGTAGAATGCATTTACTATGCCAGACTCTCCCCCACTCTAAGGTAATTCTCACCCATTGTCTGCCTGGGTGGGAAAATGGTAGTTAATAGCCAAGTAAGTGAGGATTTGGGCAATTCATTCTGACTCAGGGCTTCAAGATGGTAACTTCCTTCATAGCTTGGTCAGGAGTGCTGTGTTTCGTGGATATATGGCACTTGAGTGTGTATGAGGTGTGGGAAAGTGAGCATACCTTGTGGAGAGTTTATACTGCGGCCTGAGCTCGCTCATGAAAGCAAGTGTGAGACTTACTAAAGAAGCCAGGCGTGGTTCCTGAGCCGAGGCTGCTTCCTGCCACTAGGCCTTCACCCCATCTGCCCCTCCGAGAGCAGTGTTATTCCTCGCAAGTTTCCATGACTTTTCTTGCTCACGGGCTGGCGCCAGTGGCTGGCGGCTTGCCTCCTTTCTCCTCGCCTCCCCACTGTCCAGGCTCCTCGGCTGCTTTCTGTGTGTTGTTCTTGCCTGTGTTCAGCGAGGGAAGTCACAAATGTGGTCCTGAGTCATGGGGCCCAGTTGCAGCCACCTCCCACTGCGGTCTGTATCCCGAGGCGCGCCCAGATGGGCTGCTTCATGCTCTGCATCTGCTTACACTTCCCACCCTCAGGGTCGCCGGAGTTGGAATAGTACTTATTATTTCCAGGCTTTTTTTTTGTGCTATGTAACAACATTTTTCTACCACTGCATTATATGATTAACACAGTATTTCTTTAATTTTCAGCTCATGTCCTATTGATATTAGCAGCTAGAGGCTACCTCCTGTGCCTTCAGACACACCTGTAGGCAGGATCACATTTAATGAATATTGGATGAGATGAGAGATTACATGGGAGTTTAACTTTCTTAAATATCCAGAGCAAACAATTCTACAAAGTTTCCTTATGAATGGAAAACTTGTGTTTTAAACTCCCACCTGCTGGGGCAGGTGGGGGCGGGGGCAGGAATTACTTGTCCTTGCCTGTGAGTTTTTGTGGGGTTGTTCTGTTAACTTTTTTCCGGGGCAACAGAAGGTGTTGTCACTTTGAAGAAACCCTTAGGTGAGGTTTCTGTGAAACCCTGAAGTCGTGAATGTGATTCTGCCATTAAAACCATCAAACAACATAAAACAAGGCCTCCTACTTCCAAGATAGCAAAATATATCTGGGTCCAATTATATCAGTAACTAAAATGACTTTCAGTACCCTTGTGGAGACAGAAAAACAATGAAAGAGCAAATGATCATATATAGTTGCAAAGCATAGGAGTGATGCAGTATTTTTTTTTTCAAATTTCAACTGTTTGAGATTTTACTCCAAGAAAAAGTTCCTGAGCACTTTTGCAGAAAGTAAAGGTACTGGGAAGCACATGATTTATTTACTAAAAATATAATCACCTTTTTTCTCACTAACACATTCCTGTTTGCTCAGCGAACTGGACACATATTTTCGCCTGTCTGCAATGTAATAACTATAGGATCTATGTCCACCTTTAATCCCTCAATACCTGACAGCCCACAAGACCAAATGTATTCTGTTTTACATGTATTTTACAGACTGGTTCTAAAGACTTTAAATGAAATCCGAAAGCTGTGAGTGAAGAATTTTCTCCTTGAAAAGAGAAAACTGAGGGAATTCCCTGGTGGTCTAGTGGTTAGAACTCAGCACTCTGACTCCCAAGGCCAGGTTTGATCCTTAGTAAGGGAACTAAAATCCCATAAGCTGGACAGGGTAGCCAAAAAAAAAAAAAAAAAAGCTGAGCAGAAAGGAAAGAGGGGAGACTATTCTATGCTCCATGCTCAAGGACACTGCACCGCCCAATGCAAGTGTGAAGTTTAGCCACTTTATCATTTATCCTGGGTGATTGAATAGGTACCAATTTAGAGTTGGGCTGTTGTATCTGTGTGTGTATCAGTTTAGTGTATTCATTGACTCCTTATGAAGAAAAGCAGAATCCTCACTCCCTGGGGCAGCTTCACTCTTCAGTAAGTCCTGACATTTATTTTCCATTCTGAAATATCCACTTCCATCTTCTCATTGCTGGTTTTAATGGGAAGGAAAGGAGCAGTCCAGCTTTTCACTGGGCTCTGTCCTCACAGAGGTCTCTACTTAAGACTTGGTGTAATCTATTCAGCCACATGTGTCTTCTGTATATGGAACAGATTTCCATGCACTGATGTGATCCACGAGCCTCTGTCCCCAGGGCCCCTATAGGGAGCCCATGTTTATGTAAATATGTTCCCTTTCCACCACACACACTAAACTGGGATACAGCAGATGGTGTTTTACTGATGCTGACTTAGGGTGTGTTAAGAATCATGAGATGCAGAGAGCTTAGTTTCCTGTCTGTGATATGGTCTTTATTATGCTTGTCGATGTCTGCACTGTTCAGGGAAGGCAGCTTTGGTCTACACTTGAATCAGTTCTGCTGTACTGTCATAGGTACTAATTATGTGCTCCTAGAAAATGGAAACACAACAACTGTTTTCTTTCACCAGGTCAAAATATAGCTCTATGAAACATAAAGCCAGTTCATTGTTCATTCCATTTACAAATTATTTATAAGACATCTGGCTTTGAAACAACTCCCAAATTTTAGAAACTGGAACCAAAAAGAAAAAAAAATTAAAGAATCAATAGTTTTTATCCTAGGGTATAAAATGTTATATGTATGTGGTGGTAGACTGGGCTTGGATATAGTGGGCCTGACTGTAAAGGAGAGAAAATTCCATGAATCAATTTTATGAAATCCTTGAACTCTTTTCAACCCACTACTCTACTAAGCAGTAGTCTTATATTGCAAAAAATGAAGAGCTTAATTCTGAGCCGTTTCTTTGCTTCTTACTAGTGGGATCTGGCCTATGGTGGCTCCAAAAGTTACAGCTAAAAGCATCATAGACTTTGTTGTCTAAAGTGTACCTGTGTGCTGGTTCTGCTTTATGTTTGCTCAGTAACTTGAAATTACATGTGTGGTTTTTGTTATTTTAAGGCACTCAACCAGAATGCTGAACTAAGGAGCCGGTTGAACAGAATACATTCAGAATCTATTATTTGTGATCAGGTTGTTAGTGTAAATATTATTCCTAGCCCTGATGAGGTAAGATTCATTTTTAATAGATATAGAATACTTATTTTGTAGCATCTATACCTACTGCATATTTTTATTTATTTTTATAAACTTCTTTCACTACTAATGCAATTCCCGGCATAAATCTTGTGTTGCTGACAGTTCAGTGTCCTTTGGAGTGAAGGATATACATGAGCGTAACATCATTTATTGTTGGTGATCGGTTGTCTATTTTTATTTATTCCTGTGTTCATCTCATGCTACTGATTATTTATATGTACTCCAGCTTGTGACTTTTCTGTCACTCCTCATTTGAAATATTCATTATCATTAATGGTCCATGAAATGTTGAAACAAGCACTTTTAGCAGAGAAGGTGCTAAATAAAAGTTTTCTTAAGGTTTGTTTTAAAAGTTCTATCTAAGAAGAGACATCACCTGACCTTGCTAAGAAAATATTATTAGTGCTGCTACAGCTCCTGGTGATGATACTAATAATTAATGGTTAACATGTGTCAAGCGAATGCTTACTATGTGCTTGGTATTGCTAACCCACTTTACATGTGTTATCTCATTTGATACCCCCAACAACTGTCTGATGTAGGTGCTATTATTATTCCATTTTTCAGAAGAATTTTTGAAAAAAACAGTAAGAGGATAGGAGAATATTCAGTATTTGGACTTAACATGAGTGTATAGTTCCAGTGGCTCAGACAGTAAAGAATCCGTCTGCAATGAAGGAGACCCAGGTTTAATACCTGAATCAGGAAGATCCCCTGGGAAGGGAATGGCAACCCACTCGTATTCTTGCTTGGAGAATTCCAGGAACAGAGGAACCTGGTGGGCTAGAGTCCGAGAGTCTCAAAGAGTCAGACACGACTGAACTACTAACACTTTCATAAAATTATTATTTTTAGCCAGGAGAATTTATATTTTTGAACAGTAATACATGTAACAAGGTGAGAGTTTTAACTAATGCTAAGGCCATATTTGTACCAAACATACATTTTTCTAGAACTCTGTAAGTATAAGGGTTCTACTATCTAACTGCTTAAGAAATACCATCCCCAGACAGCTTCTCTTGGATGTAAGTTACCGACCCTGTCTCCATTCACCTCCATGGGTCCTGTGATCTCTGATGACACTTATGCCCCCTCAACTGCCCAGAATCTAGAATATTTCTAAAATTTTATCATTTAAAAATTAGTCAACAGTCTCAGTGTGAATATTCTTTTCAATTTAAAATGTGTACTAAAAGTACTAGATGTTTAAAATGTATAGTTCTCTTGCCTATTTTTCTTGTTGGAACTTAAATTGCTTTCTTGAAAGCAATATCATTTGCTATCATTGTATAAGGTTCAATACTCTAATCATATGTTTCATTGGCTAAAATTCGTGATCAAATTGGAAAGTGACTTTTTATATCAATATATTTGGTCTCAAAAATTAGTCTTATAGAATGTTTTCTTAGCATATTGCTAGTGGTTACTACAAATACTTTTTTTTTTTTTTTTACAAATACTTTTTGAGTTGTAGTATACTGGTTAGAATATGGCTAGTAATGACAGGCCAAAGCATATGGCAAGAAACTTGTCTCCACAGTCAATTCAGGGTATTTTGGGGCCTCAATCTGTTATTCAATCCACTAAATGTCAACTGAGCATAGATTGAAAATCTACTCACCTTTTGTCTGCACTTTTGGATTCTTCAGGCATATTGGAAGGAAATTTATGCAGTGGTCATTATTCAGTTGCAAGTGAAAATTGCTTGTGCTCACCAGTCCTTTAACATATGCTGTGAATTTTTCTAGAGATCTGGCTAGTACTTCATTGTCTAATTTGAACAAATAGCCATTCATACAAGGGAAGAAAGCGATCACACCATCTACTTTTCTCTCCTGTAGGCTGGTGAGCAAATCCATGTCAGTCTACCCTTGTCACAGCAAGTAGCCAATGAGAGCCGCCTCTCCATGTCAGAATCTGTCTCTGAGTTCTTCGATGCCCAAGAAGTGCTCCTCTCTGCAAGCTCATCAGAGAATGAGGTAAGGTTCCTAGATGTGTCAACCCCAACTGCTTCTGACCATGAGTTTGGGTAAAAGAAAGTAAGACTTTGGAACTTGGTTTTAACATCATAATAAGATGTCCAAATAGTAGCAAAGCCAAAAGCATGCAAACTATATGGATTCCACTTACTGAGCCCTTAGCCTTCTGGGCACCAACTCAATACTCTTAAATTTGATGAATAAAAATAAAGAATCAAGATTTTTTCTGATTTACCTGTACAGTTCATATTTCAGGATAAACAGATAGGTGATAACTGTTCTTTATAGAAGGAGACTAGCTAATAAATATAAAAAGAATGAGAGCATAAGAAAAATACCATTCGTATTTGTACATACAAACACACAAACAAACACACATCTTTGCCAGAGACTGAATTTGAATTTAGAAGCATAATGTCTAGCATATATCTAGTTGGATAATTTTGGCTTTTGGAGGTTACCACTGGCTACCATGAGGCTTCCCTGGTGACTTAGTTGGTAAAGAATCTGCCTGCAATGCAGGAGACCCGGGTTCAATCACTGGGTTGGAAAGATCCCCTGGAGAAAGAAATGGCGACTCACTCCAGTATTGTTGCCTGGATAGAGGAGCCTGGTGGATTTCCAGTCCATGGGGTCACCAGAATCAGACACACTGAGCAACTAAACCACCACCACCACTGGCTACCACTAAAGATTTATTGGATTCCTGTCATGCTCGTGAATCTTGGCAAGGTCTTGGTCAGGTTGCAGAAACTCTTTTACTGAAATTTTAGTCAAGTACACTTTGAATTTTTTCTTTTTTGGCATGAGAGAAGCAGTCAAAGCTCTTTCCTACACAGTTGTTTAATTTTGTCATTTAAGACTGCAGATCTGTAATCCTTTTTTACAAAAAGGGAATGAAGTAATTAAGTGTTAGTTGCTCAGTCATGTCTAACTCTTTGTGACCTCATGGATCGTAGCCCACCAGGCTCCTCTGTTCATGGAATTCTCCAGGCAAGAATACTGGAGTGAATAGCTATTCCTTTCTCCAAGGGGTCTTCCCAACCCAGGAATAGAACCTGGGTCCCCTGCATATGAATCTGAGCCACTAAGGAAGTTCAAAAGGAGATGAAATCATTGATAGATGTTATTTCCATATGCATAGAAAATAGATTGGAAGGAAACATCCTGAAAATTAGTAGTAGTTCCTTTTGGACATTTGGAATTATGAGTGATTTTAGAAAATAGAAATAATGAACACATATCACTTTGATAATGGAGAAAAATTAAAACAGAATTGTTATATCAGGTACTGAATTTGTTACCTCATCAAACTAAGCACCTGCCTCTCAGATTCCAAGTCATAGATTAACAGATTCACAGATATTCACATTCACAAGGCAGAAACTAGTTTAATTATAAATAGACAATTGATGTTATCAAATAGACAAAATAATCCTGTTTGCTGATCATGTCTCTTTCCCTGTAGGCACATATGCCCAGGAAGCCTAATTATGATTAGGAGGTTGGTGAGCAAGGAAGGAATGGGAGCAGGAGAAGTGAGCTGAAGGCTGTGAGGGCCAGGATGTAATTGCTCCAAACTTTCGTCTCCATTACAAGGATGCTTTCCCATGTGGTGGGGAATTGGTGTCTGTGAGTCAGTCTCTACCCTAGGGACCACAGTGCTGGAGACGTGCTCCCAGTATTTATTTCTTCTCTGATTCTCCCTTTTCTGGGATCCTGTTGCTGACCAGTTCTTTGTCCTTATTCAAGCAAACTTGACTATACATTATCTAGGCTTGGACCCACCATCTGATGACCTCATATATTCCTGAGAGCAACCTGATTGCCCTGTGTCTAAGTTCTTGGGGGCACATCTGCCTGGGTGCCCACTTGTCACTTGCACCAGCCACTGGTGAGACAGAAATGAAGATGTGAGGTGGTTTATTGCATGGGTCCAAGCTAGGTGGTGGTGCCACCACAGGAAAGAGTGAGCCCATTGGCCAACAGAGGCTCATGGAGATGATCCATTCATGTTAAGGCACTGTGAACTTACCAGACCTCGCAGCGGAGGTATCTGGCAGCCTTTTGGATATTCAAGTCTACAGCTCAGGAAGAAAGCAGGTCTGAAGAGAAAGCAGGCTTTGGCTTGGGATCCACCTAACCACCGACCTGTGAGATGCTGCCATCTGGGTGCTCCACAGAATCTCTATTTCAGCGTGTCCAAATGAAGTAATTAATAACCCCCTAACACGTGCATGCATGCACATGCACACACACACACACACACACCAAGGGAAAAAACACAAGCCTACCTCTACTTCTCATATTGCCTAAGTACTTTTCTACCCAAGTGTTCACATCAAATACCCGAATTTCCTCAGTATTTCCCTTCACTCCTGTGCCTAACTACCACCCACCACCCACATTGTATTGCATCCCGTTCTGTATTCTGTCACCTAAATTATCTAAGATACATATATTTTCCTAAGAAAAGCTTCACTGCCTCTCCTCCCATTCAATCCTCCATCAGCTCCCACCTATATTACCCTGTCAATGTCCATAACTAGTTTTCCTGCCCGCTTGCTTTCTGCCTTGAATCCGTTTCCACTGGGCAGCCTGGTTAACCTTCCCAAAATGCAAATCTGATGGTATCTGTATTCCCCAGTGTTCCTAGGATGACACTAAACTCCTTAGCTACCATACAGAGACTCATAATCTGGTCTATGTTCTCAGCTGCAGCCTCTTGGAACCTCTGTTCTTTTGAAGCCATCCAGAGGCCAACGGAGTACTTCCTGGAGTTGTCAGTTTACTGCAGACACCCCATGTCCCTTGTTGATACAAGAAGAGTAAATCTCCTACAACCCACATGGGAAAGAACTGAACTATGTGTTTGTTCCTTGCAACTGTATCTTACAGGTTTTCATAAAATGACTGTTTTTTACTCAAATCTCTTCTGTTTATCACAGCACTCAGTCTTAAGTATTTGAAGAGGCTGGACCAGGAGATAAGCCCAAGTAACAGGCACCTCAGTGTTCTCAAGGTTGCTCTTCCCCTTTGGCTGAGACTTGTTTCTGAGACAACTCCATCTGTCCAGGTTTCGGAGTTCCCTTGTGATGAGATGCCCCCGGAAGGCTCCTCCAGTCTCCATACCACAGACTTGGCCAGCCCACCTGGTTGGTTCACTGTATGTGTGAGAATCTAGTAACAGCTGCAGGATGGGCTCAACTGCACATTCTACATGACAGCTGATAAGGGCTGTTGGGCCTCTGTGTTGCCACTCACCCTGGTTGGAACACTCCCAGGACCATGCAGTCAGATTGCTCACTCCCTTCAGTCTACTCAGAAGTCACCTTCATGTAGCCCTGGCTACACTGTAGAGCTACCATTTCCTCCTTGCCCCTGACTTTTCACTTGCCTGGTCCCTTCTGATTTTTTTCTATAGTGTTTATCACTATCTAACAGAATATATTGGAGAAGGCAATGGCACCCCACTCCAGTACTCTTGCCTGGAAAATCCCATGGATGGAGGAGCCTGGTGATGGGGTCGCTAAGAGTCAGACACGATTGAGCGACTTCACTTTCACTTTTCACTTTCATGCATTGGAGAAGGAAATGGCAACCTAGTCCAGTGTTCTTGCCTGGAGAATCCCAGGGACGGAGGAGCCTGGTGGGCTGCCGTCTATGGGGCCGCACAGAGTCAGACACTACTGAAGTGGCTTAGCAGCAACAGAAAATGTATTTCATGTTTATTGTATGTCTCTCCCACTGGAGTGAGGGAAGAGATTTCAGCACTCTGTCTGCAGCACTAGAACATTCTTGTGAGCCCAGAACTCAGAAAGTATTTGCTAACTGAATGAAGGAAGGAATGCTTAGCACCTTACACATGATTAATCTGAGAAACCTGGGCCTTAGCAGTCTTATATTAACATTTTCTGGGACTGAGAGAAAATTCTTGATGTGTTTCATTTAATGAATGTACAACCTCTTTTTTAAAAAATGCTCTTTCTTATTTTCAGAATGATCTCCTTCTTTGTCTCTACTGTTAAATGTGTTTCTGCAATGCTGAATGGTTGCATTTTTCTAAATGGTAACATTTAGAAAAAAATTTCCTAAATTCTTTTGAATCCCAAACCCCTTAAAGAGAAATATTTGGCTCCAAGACTTCTTGACCATGGGAGAGAAAATAAATATATATTAATCATTTTATTATAATACTGCAGAGTACTATATCCTTATATACAGTATAACATGAGTGGACCACAGCCAGCCTGCCCAGCCTTAGCTACTGCTCACACATGCGATAATATAGATCTTATTCAAGATCCACTGTAATTGTAGAATTATTTTATATTCTACACAGATCTTTCTATGTGGACATGGATATTGGGCCATTTCTATCATGTGTTAGTTTGAGTGAAATTAGAAATTGAAGAGGATAGACTGTTTACAGCTTCTAAACGTTCATCTAGTAAACATACATGCCATGTGAATTAGGTTGGGGCAGGCATTTATTTCCTCTAACATCACTGGATGTGATTAGCTTTTTTCATAGTAATCACATGGAAGAGTTTGATTTACTTTTTATTTCTATTAAGGTTCAGAGTGTGACTTTCATGGGCCTGAAGGTTTAACCTTCCATTTTGTTGCAGTCATGGGAAAGTGGAAGCCTGCTGCAGTGGGAAAATACAAGTTAGAAAAAGACTTTATTCTCAATTTGCCATCTTTATAACCTTTCTCAGAGTACAAAAGCAAAACTACAGTTATTAATTTATGCATAAAGTCATTCTGCCTATAATTCTATCTCCTTAAGTGTATCAGTTCTTCCCAACTCTATTAAAAATATCAGCAGTAAATTCAGAAACTGTAAAGGCAAAGATCGATTGTTTTTATTATATACAAATTTTAGAACCTTTACTTGACCATAAAATGGCATAAGCAACATTTAAAAAGAAATTGCAAACTAGAAAAAAAATGCAGTTTATATGAAGAGCTGAAAAATGTGTGAAAGAGAGTTTCACTAAAGATGAAGTTCAGACTGTAAAAAGAGATCTTTTATGTGTGTTAGGTAGATAGATACCAATGTAGATTGATAATGTGTAGTGTTTAAGTGGGTGAGAGATGGGTGCCCTCGTATGCTGATGGTAAGAATAAACTAATATAGTACAGTCTTCCAGGAGAGCAATTTGGTGACGTAGGGCTGAAGCCTAAGAGTGACTCATTTGCCCCAGCAATTTCACTTCTGGGAATAAATCTTAATGAAATTGCCAGGCAGATTCACAGAAATTTGTTTCCAAGATTGTTCATCCAAGTATTACCTATAAATAATAAAAAATTGGATGCCACGTGAATGTTGGTTAAATTCTTTGTATTATGTAACTATTTGCCATTAAGTAAAGATGGAGAGCTGTTTTCATTAGAATGGGAGTATATTCAGAATACTATAAAATGGCATGTAAACCCATCTGCTTTTTCAGTATCTAAAGACAGATGTATCTGTGTGTTCATATAGGCATTTTGAAATTGGGGGTAAAACCTACGAAATGTTGAAAGTGATTTCTTTTAGGTCACAGTATGGGTGATTTCCATATCATCTGTTTACCTTCATGTAATTTCTGATTTTTTACAATATAAGTGTTCTGTTTTTGTGTTCAGAAAAGATATAACGTATTTCCATTTTGAAGACAGTGAGTAGGTGTCAACAGCTTTCTTGCCTATAGTAAAAACATCAGTTTTCCCATTCCTCTGAATGGCTCTATGGTAATTCTCTGTTTTCTTATCTGCTCTTTCTCTGAATCCCCTTAGTACATATGTTGCCCTTAATTTTATTCTTATGTGAATCTTGGTTTCATTTTAGTTCCATATTTTTCTCATGGAGAGAATGGCTTAATTCTTGATTTCTCTGTTTCCCTAAATCTTTCTTCCCTGCCCCCAAATTATCTGCCAGATTTTGTCTGTTACACTTTAAATGTGGTTCCCAAATGCAGCTGTACTGCCTGAAATGAACCTTACTGTGGGCATCTTAGTGAAATCAGTCAGTGTTTCTTATCCAGATCTACATAGGATCCTGTTATCTGCGCTCCCTAGGACAAGTTGCAGAGTGTCTTCCTGAGAACCAAATATGACTCTATCATTTCCTTGCATTTAATAATTCATACGATTATATGTGAGGGCTTCCCAGATGGCGCTAGTGGTAAAGAACCTGTCTGCCAGTGCAGGAGACATAAGAGACACTGGTTCAGTCCCTTGGTTGGGAAGATCCCCTGGAGAAGGAAATGGTAACCCACTCCAGTATTCTTGCCTGGAGAAATCCCATGGACAGAGGAGCCTGGTGGGCCGCAGTCTTTGGTCGCATAGAGTCAGACACAACTGAAGTGACTTAGCTTGCACGCATGCACAATTATATGAGAGACCTTATTTTGACATGCAAAGCCCTTCACAGTCAGACCTCTTCATCTTTGCCCCATCTTCTGTTACAGCCACTTGACTTCTTAACATTCCTAGAAGGAATGTTTTTCTCATGGTCCTTGCTTTTGTACACCATCCCTTCTTCTTGTACTTCTCCCCCACTTCTAACCACCAGGCAACTCTGCATCCTCCAACACCCAGTTAAAATATTATTTCCTCCAGCAACCTTTCCTGACTCCTTTATGGGGATTTGTAGAGTCTCCTTTTTTGCACATTCTTACCGTGTTGGATTGAAACATTTCTCATTATGTACTGGCCTCTCCCAACTTCTCAGCCCAACTTAAGATAGAAAGCTACTTAAAGATAAAGGCTGCTTCCTGGCAGTCCTATATTCCAGCTCATGGGACACTCTAAGGGGTTCATTGCCCATGTGCCACATATATTTCCCACTATGACCTCTGCTTTCCATGAGCAATATCCTGTTGTTTTTAATTGTTTAATTTTTCTGAAATGTCAAGACTGGATGAAACTTCTGATCCTTTCTATGTTCTTCTCTTCCTTAGGCTTCAGATGATGAGTCTTACATCAGTGATGTGAGCGATAATATATCTGAAGACAATACCAGTGTTGCAGACAACATCTCTCGGCAAAGTATGCATCCTTTGAGTCTTGAGGTTGTCCTGTCTACATGCCAAATACAACGCTGATGATTCAATGAACAGTCATTTTGGCCCCCTTGCTAACTGTTCCTTTTGCAGCTTATTGTTCAACAAATTTTATATTTGTATAATCTGGTGAGGTAAATGGTTGAAAAATTTGTTAGGGAGAAGATTAAGATAAAAAGTTTAGTTCTTGCCCAAACCAAAATTTTGAGTCCTTTGTAATTAAATATATTTATATTTAGTGTTTTAAATTTTGACTTGTTTAGGACTTCCTTGGCAGTCCAGTGGTTAAGATTTTGAGCTCTCAAGGCAAGGGGCATGGGTTCAATCCCTGGCTGGAGAACTAAGATCCCACGAGTCGTGAAGCAACACCAGAAAGAACTATACATTGAAGTTCTGTGCATTTATCAGCAACCTGGTATTGACATAATTCTGTTCACTCTTGGGAGAGTGTAAGGGAGGCTTAAGAAATGTATCACAGTCAGAATTATTTGAAAGGGTTCTTTCCCTCCCGGGTTTTGGGAAATCAGGAAAGCAAAATATCTTTCACTGTGATTCTCCTGTTTCTCCTAGTCTTGAACGGGGAGCTTACGGGAGGAGCCTTCCGAAACGGACGTCGAACATGCCTGCCAGCTCCCTGTCCCGACACCAGTAACATTAACCTGTGGAATATATTGAGGAACAACATTGGTAAAGACCTGTCTAAAGTCTCCATGCCTGTGGAGCTAAATGAGCCACTTAATACTCTGCAGCATCTCTGCGAGGAAATGGAATACAGTGAGCTCCTGGACAAGGCTTCGGAAACTGACAGTCCCTATGAGCGCATGGTAATAAATAGCAGAGCAGCGCCCTTTGGAGTTGCCAACCCTAGACCTGGGCTAGGGAAGATTCATTAGGATAGTGTATCTGCTTGTTGCCTAATACTCTAACTGCATAGGTAAGAGAAATCCGTTTGCGTAATTTTTTTGGCAGAGCCAAAAAAGCTCTAGATACCTCTATTGAAAGATTCACTCTTTGTGACTTATTCTTGGGTCCGAGTGGTTCTGAAGTTAGAATGTAAAGGCATCGTACTTCTTATAGGTGCCTGGCCTTGCTTTATCGGCTTTTTCTGAATGCCAGGGAAGCCCATTTGTTTAGGAACTTGGGTCTGAGAAGGAAACTTCCTGTTTGTTCTCTGCCCTGGCCTTTACTCCACGTGACTCTGGAAAACTTGACCTGCCCTCTGAAAAGCACCAGCAGCCACAAACTTTCCTGCTAAGATTGTGTAAATGGCATAATCTGGCTTTCAGAACCTTTGAATTCTGTGATACTCAAGAAATTGGATGGACAGATGAATGAAGACTATTTGGCCTCAGTTGCCTGCTGGTTCCCATGCAGAGTTTAACTGCATTTTCATTTATTTTTTTTTTCCCCATGAGTATATGAAGAGTTTGTGCAAGTAATAGAAAATGCAGATATCATCAAATCAGCACCCACTGATGTGGTTATATAAAATCTAGAGGAATAAGGGACAAACAGACCTGGAAGTAGTCTCTCCTATATTATTTTCCTTTCTTAAATGTTTTAACAGGTTCTTATTGCTGCATTTGCAGTTTCAGGATATTGCTCCACCTATTTCAGAGCAGGAAGTAAGCCATTCAACCCTGTCCTTGGGGAGACTTATGAATGCATTAGAGAGGACAAAGGATTCCGATTTTTCTCAGAACAAGTAAGTGCCACTGGACTCAGGTTTCTGTGTAGAAACTGTAGGAGGGCTGTTTGATGATGAAAATAGCTTTTTTTTGTAAACATCTGGTTGAGATGGGTCATAATACTAGTTAACAGAAAATTCACTTAGCTTATCTATATAATTACATCCTCTAAATGTTTTTAAGCATGAAGTTGTAAGATTTGGCAATTTACTTACACATTTTGAGAATAATGCAGTAACAGAGATAGATAAGTTGAGTAGCTTTTATTTAAAGAAAGATAAGAAAGTGAAGTCGCTCAGTCATGTCCAGCTCTTTGCGACCCCGTGGACTGCAGACCACCAGGTTCCTCTGTCCATGGGATTCTCCAGGCAAGAATACTGGAGTGGGTTGCCATTTCTTTCTCCAGGGGATCTTCCCAAACTAGGGATCGAACCCAGGTCTCCCACATTGCAGGCAGATGCTTAATCCTCTGAGCCACCAGGAAAGCCCAGCTTTTATTTGGGGGTAGCCAAATACATGTTGTGAAAAATGGTCATTTGTGGAAGTTTTAACACTGATGTCATTGCCTTTTTTTTGTTTTTAACTTTCAGGTTAGCCATCATCCACCCATTTCTGCCTGTCACTGTGAATCCAAGAATTTTGTGTTTTGGCAAGGTTTGTATTTCAATTATAACTTCAAAATCCAATTGATAAGCCTATAAGAAAGTTTCTAGTTTCCAAAGTGCTCAGTTTAGATTTCTTCTTTTAGAACTCAGAAAATGTTGGTAATTGGCATGGAGTTCAGTTTAAGAGATTAGGTTTCTTGATTTAAATATGAAACTATGTCACCTGGGAGATGGGATTATTTATTTAGGAAGCAAAGCCCGATGAGATAGCAGAGCTGTATGCTGACATTGCCAGCTCAGGGCAATCTCTTTACCTCATTGTGCCTCATTGTCTGCATCAGTAGCATGAAGTTTGTATCTGCTGTCTTCTCGCTTTTCTTAAAGGTGTACAAATAGACCTTAATCCTGAAAGAAAGCTCTGCTGTACCTCTGTGCTCACAGTCTATTGAGAGACACATGCATAGCAGTAATTTCTGTTTTTTAACTCATTGAGGCTTGGGGGTTTGAATTGAAGTCTCTATTAAATTAATATCCATTGTTAAGTTAGAATGTTGCAGACTCACCTAGGATAAAAAGTTTCAAAACCCTTCTAGAAAGAAAAGTATATATATATGTAAGTGAAAGTGTTAGTCATTCAATTTTGTCCAACTCTTCGTGACCCCGTGGATTATAGCCTGCCAGACTCCTGTGTCCATGGGATTTCCCAGGCAGAAATACTGGAGTGGGTAGCCATTCCCTTCTCCAGGCGATCTTTCCGACCCAGGATGGAACCAAAGTCTCCTGCATTGGAGGCGAGTTCTTTACCATCTGAGCCATCATGTATGTGTACATTTACCATTAAATGTGAATAATTCCCTCACATTTGAAAGGGCACTTCACTGATCACAGTATGACTCATCTCACATGCACTTCCTCAACCTAAAAATGATATGAAATGATAGAGCAACACCATGACTATACTTTAGTGCAGATTAAGAAAGTAAGTCATTTCTTGTTCTTAACAAAGAGTCAGAAATTTTGTGGAGAGAGCACCAAGCTTCCTTATCTCATTAAAAACAAGACCAGGCAATAATACACAAGCAAAGATATACCTGAGTGTCCACAAGTAAAACAAAAATCCATCATGTGAGATAAAATTCTGGGCCCTGAGTAGTATCTTAACAACCAGCATAGGAACATGTTTATTAAGTTAATCTCACTTTCTCATAAATCTTACCCCTCTATAGTTAGAGGCTTTATTTTTTTTTATACTGGTTTTCCCAAGTCATGTAACTTTTCAAATAAATGTGTATATAAATCAGTGTTACTGCCATACTACAATCTGCAATTACTTTTACCATATATCATATATATACACACACATGTATAAAATATTTCCACCATTTAGCTAAATCCTCTAACAGCATTTGTGGAGACATTAAAGCAGAGTAGAATCTATGTATATGTGTATATGAATATGCACACATGCACACACAGATTATTCCAAGTCTTTCCCAGTGTTATTTGTTGAAAACACATATAGAGAATGCATTATGGAAAAACAGATAGATATTTTTGGGGGTTCCCAGTTAATCTTCTCACCTTGGACCATCCTCAGGCACTTGTTGTGATAGAACAACAGTATAGAATTGATTGTGATTACAGAAGTTCTTTGTAAAATGTAAAGTATATTATAAAAGTTCACTTTTCTAGAGTAAATGATTAGATACAGAGTGTAATTCTTTTTGTCCTCTGCCTTATGTCATTTAGATATCAGATGGAAAAACAAGTTCTGGGGCAAGTCAATGGAAATCTTGCCTGTGGGAACCCTGAATGTCATGCTTCCAAAGTAGGTTGCTCTCATCTTCCTTTTGGTCTCTTATCTGCATTTCTAAATCATAAATGGACATTTGAAACTCTTGTTTATTATTGTTCAGCCACTCAGTTGTGCCTAACTCTTTGCAACCCCATGGACTGCAGCACTCCAGGCTTCCCTGTCCTTTCATCATCTCCCACAGCTCGCTCAAACTCATGTCCATTGAGTCAGTGATGCCATCCAACCATCTCACCCTCTGTCGCCCCCTTCTCCTCCTGCCTTCAATCATTCCCAGCATCAGGGTCTTTTAGAATGAGTCAGTTCTTTGAAACTCTAGACTGTGCCAAGGAGCTATTGCCCTTTATGGCCAAGGCTTCTTTCAAGTTCATCAAAGGATGTTTTTTTTTCAATTTGAGTGTAATTGCCTTACAATGTTACATTGGTTTTCACCAAAGTTTTGAGACTGGACCCTCTCAAAAGCAAATGAGAATTTTAGCATATGTGTCAAAGCTTCCTTTTTATCTCTAGATATCCTCCATTCAACAGTCAGCACCTGCCTGTCCCAATCACCATGTTAGCTTGCATTTTTTAAAATTTTATTTGTATTGACATTTAGTTGAATTACAATATTTTCTTAATTACTACTGTACAGCAAAGTAACTTTGTTATATATATATATACATTCTTTTTCCTATTCTTTTCCATTATGACATCACAGGATATTGAATATAGTTCCCTATGCTATACAGTATGACCTTGTTGTTTATTTAGTCTATACTAGTTTGCATCTGACAATCCCAAACTCCTATTCATATCCTTTTCCACCTCCCTCCCCTTGGCAACCACCAGTCTATTCTCTGTGTCTCTGTTTGCATTATATATGAAAGTTTCTCTTTTTAGCCATTTATTTTCTATATAATTTATACTTTCACTTCTGAGTTCATCTTAGCCCCAGGCACTGTTTTTAATGTTTAAGTTATTTTATTAAGGAAGTGATGGAATCCTTATACAGTTGTTTTCTGGAGAATGTAGCCTTGTTGTTGTTAATTGTTGTTTAGTCACTAAGTCATGACTCTTTTGTGACCCCATGGACTGTAGCCCTTTAAGGATTTCCTAGGCAGAACGACTGGAGTGAGTTGCCATTTCCTTCCCCAGGGATCAAACCTGCATCTCCTGCATTGGCAGGTGAATTCTTTACCAGTGAACCACCAGGGAACCCCTCAATATAGCCTATGCATCTTAAAGTTTAATTGAAGTTTTCATTGAGGCCAAATGTTTCATTGTTTTTCTTTCTTTCTTCATTCAGTTGATTTTGTTTTTGTTTTGTTTTTGTCTATTTGAATGACAGAGTTTTCTGGTATATTGAATATGGAGGATGGTTGGGAAAGGGAGCAATTCTCAGAACCACAAAATCAATTTTCAGTATTTACAAACTCATGAGGAAGAGAGTTTTCCCAGGTATATATAGTGCCTACATCATACCAATTCATAGATTTTCCAGAAATCCAGAAGCATTTTATATTAAAATAGCATTTTATTTGAATATATAACAATGTGCAGTTTCAAGTTCAGTTCAGTTGCTCGGTCATGTCTGACTCTTTGTGATCCCATGGGCTGCAGAACGCCAGGCTTCCCTGTCCATCACCAGCTCCTGGAGCTTGCTCACACTCATGTCCATCGAGTCAGTGAGGCCATCCAACCATCTTATCCTCTGTCACCCCCTTCTCCTCCTGCCTTCAATCTTTCCCAGCATCAGGGTCTTTTCCAGTGAGTCAGTTCTTCACATCAGGTGGCCAGAGTATTGGAGCTTCAGCTTCAGCATCAGTCCTTCCAATGAATATTCAGGACTGATTTCCTTTAGGATTGACTAGTTTGATCTTGCTGTCTAAGGGACTCTCAAGTGTCTTTGACAGGACCACAGTTCAAAGGTATTAAATTTTCGGCTCTCAGCCTTCTTTATGGTCCACCTTTCACATCCATATATGACCACTGGAAAAACCAGACCTTTGACTATATGGACCTTTGTCAGCCAAGTGATATCTTTGCTTTTTAATATGCTGTCTAGGTTTGTCATAGCTTTTTTCCCAAGGAGCAAGCATCTTTTAATTTCATGACTGTAGTCACAGTCTGCATTGATTTTGGAGCCCAAGAATATGAAATCTGACACTGTTTTCACTTTTTCCCCATCCTTTTTCCATGAAGTGATAGAACCAGATGCCATGATCTTTGTTTTTCGAATGTTGAGTTTTAAGCCAGCATTTTTGCTCTCTTCTTTGACTTTTATCAAGAGATTCTTTAGTTCCTCTTCACTTTCTGCCATTGAAGTGATATCATCTGCATATCTGAAGTTGTTGATGTTTCTCCTGGCCATCTTGATTCCAGCTTGTGAGTCATCCAGCCCAGCATTTTGTATGACGTACTCTGCATATAAGTTCTTCTGCTTCTGTTAGGTCCTTGCCATTTTTGTCCTTTATTGTGTCTATCTTTGCATGAAATGTTCCCTTGGTAGCTTCAGTTTTCTTAAAGAGATCTTTAGTCTTTCCAATTCTATTGTTTTCCTCTATTTCTTTGCATAGTTCAGTTAAGAAAGCTTTCCTTGCACTTCTCTGGAACTCTGCATTCAGTTGGGTATATCTATCCTTTTACCTTTGCCTTTCACTTCTCTTTTCTCAGCTATTTGTAAGGCCTCTTCAAACAACCATTTTGCATTTCTTTTGCTTGGGGATGGTTTTGGTCACCACCTCCTGTTCAGTATTATGAACCCCTGTCCATAGTTCATTAGGCATCCTGTCTACAGGATCTAGTACCTTGAATCTATTCATCACCTCCACTGTATAATCATAAAGGATTTGATTTAGGTCATACCTGTATGGCCTAGTTGTTTTCCCTACTTTCTTCAATTTCAGCCTGAATTTTGCAATAAAGAGCTGATGATCTGAGCCACAGTCAGCTCCAGGTTTTGTTTTTTCTGATCGCATAGAGCTTCTCCATCTTTGGCAGCAAAGAATAGAATCAATCTGATTTCAGTATTGACCATCTAGTGATGTCCACATGTAGAGTCATCGCTTATGTTATTGGAAGAGGGTGTTTGCTATGACCAGTGCATTCTCTTGGCAAAATTCTGTTAGCCTTTGCCCTGCTTCATGTTGAACTCCCAAGACCAAACTTGTGTGTTACTGCAAGTATCTCTTGATTTCCTACTTTTGCATTCCAGTCCCCTGTGATGAAAAGGACATCTTTTTTTGGTGTTAGTTCTAGAAGGTCTTGTAGATCTTCACAGAATCATTTGTTCAACTTCATCTTTGACATTAGCATTTGGGGCATAGACTTGGGTCACTGTGATGTTGAATGGTTTGCCTTGGAAATGAACTGAGATCATTCTGTCATTTTTGAGATTGCATCCAAGTACTGCATTTTGGACTCTTTTGTTTACTATGAGGGCTACTCCATTCCTTCTAACAGATTCTTACCCACAGTAGTAAATATAATGGTCATCTGATGGATGGATATGAGAGTTGGACTACAAAGAAAGCTGAGCACCAAAGAATTGATGCTTTTGAACTGTGGTGTTGGAGAAGACTCTTGAGAGTCCCTTGGACAGCAGGGAGATCCAACCAGCCCATCCTAAAGAAAATCAGTCCTGAATATTCATTGGAAGAACTGATGCTGAAACTGAAGTTCCAATACTTTGGCCACCTGATGCGAAAAACCGACTCATTGGAAAAGACCTTGATGATGGGAAAGATTGAAGGCAGGAGAAGAGGACAACAGAGGATGAGATGGCTGGATGGGATCACCAACTCAATGGACATGAGTTTGAGTAAACTCCAGGAGTTGGTGATGGACAGGGAGGCCTGGCGTGCTGCAGTCCATGGGGTCACAAAGAGTCAGACACGACTGAGTGACTGAGCTGAACTGAAATGAGTTAAATCCACCCATTCCCATCCATTTTAGTTCACTGATTCCTAAAATATCATTGTTCACTCTTGCCATCTCCTGTTTGCGCACATCCAATTTACCTTGATTCATGGACCTAGCATTCCATGTTCCTATACAATATTATTCTTTACAGCATCAGACTTTACTTTCACCACCAAATACAGCCACAATTGGGCATCGTTTCTGCTTTGACTCATCTTCTTCACTCTTTCTATAACCTTACTCCCCAGAAATTGCATTAGATTTTTGTTATCTATGCTCATCTGTCTTTTCCCAAGGAATTATTCACATATTTTGCCTTAACTCAGAGCATGAAGCCCTATCCTCAGAGTAGCCTTTCTTAAATGCATGCCCTGCTGTGCCTCTCGCCCTCCCCACCCCAAACCCTTCCCTTGATGGCACATTGCCTGCAGGGTAAATCCAGACTCATTGGTGTGTCTTTTAGGGCCTTCCATGCTCTGCCCCCTCCACCTTCCAGCCTTACCCCCGCCACACCCACTCACCTATAGCATGCTACACACAGGTTCCCAGATGCATTGTGCTCTTTTGGCCTCTGTGGCTTTGTCTCTGCTTTTCCCAGCCTGTAGTATCTTCCTGTCCTTGCTCCTAGCTTAGACCAAACCAACCTCCTCTAGAAAATCTTCCTTGACATTCACCCCACATGTCAGGCAGATCTAAGGACCCTTCTTCTGTGCTCTCATAAGCATCCATCTACCCCTACCTTACTGTTGGACCCAGGAGAGCAGGAGACAGGCTCTACTCAACTTGGTAGCTTTAGCACCTGGCCCATAGAAAGCACTGACATATTCCTTAAATGAATGAATCATGTGGTAAATGTCCTTGACCACATAGAAACTTCCAACGAAGAAATGAGAGGAAGATGAAGTTCAAAAAGGAGGCTTTGGTGAAAAGTATTCTCGTTGCTAGAAACAGTAATATATATTCATGACCTTCATTGTTTTTAATCAGTGTTGTATTCTTCACTAGGTATGGAGATTGCTATGTGTGGAATAAGGTCACCACGTGCATACACAACATCCTAAGTGGGAGGAGATGGATAGAGCATTATGGAGAAGTAACCGTTAGAAATACCAAAAGCAGTGTTTGCATTTGCAAACTCACATTTGTCAAGGTAAATAATTTCATACAATAGCAAAGGATAGATACATAAAATGCCTCTTAGGAAAGAAATAAAGCAATTACCTTAAACGGCAGCAAGTGATTCAGTCCTGTAGCATTAATCCTTATGGACATTTAGTTAAGAAAGCAGAACAAAAGGGTGGAATTGCCCCAGGGGTGCAGACATATGACCATATAGAAGTCAAAAAGGGCACCATCTTGAAACAGAAAAAAGAATTCTTTTTAAAGAATGTTCTTTTTAAGCAGTCAGTCAGTTCATTAAGTAAAATTCCAGAGAGTACTTCTTGCCTGTAACAAGTCTCCTGGTTTATATTCTATTTATATTCCTGCTTGATTACAACATATTCAAGTGATCTTATTTTAGGGAACTAAATATATCACACTTGTGTTTTCTGAGGATACATAGAGATGACAGCTTCTAGTCCCTATAAACTTTTCCAACTCTGCCACTATTATATATAGTCTTATATAAGTTCAACAAAAAGCAGTATCTTTCCTAACAGGAGAAGATGTCAGATATTTTTCTTTTTTCCTTTTTTTCTTATAGATTGATTATGTGGCTCAGAACTGAAGAGCCTGAATCAGTATTTGCTCTGACTGGGTCATGACAGTAACTGTGTGTATTTAGTTTTCTAGTCTAGGAGAAACTTCAGCTTAGGCCTGCCTCTAATATTTGCAGAGCTCAGGGTGAGAATACAAATGGACATCCCCATTCCGTATGTGTAAATATTTAAAATATGTAAACCAAGCCCACAAGCTGTCAAGTAAAATATGTTTATACTGACAAAAGTACTTTTGTAAAACTAAAATCTGCAAGTCTAGGTTGGACACTTGGGAACGCCAAGCTGGAAACCCCGCAGCTCCGGAGAGCCAGTCTGGCCCACAGCCTTCATCGCTCACTCCCCACCCCATCTCTGCCCCGCTCTGCAAGAAGCCGCACTTATATGCAGACAGTCCAGCCCACACTTCTAGACTCTATCCACACCCCTTCACACCGCCACCCTTGGCCAGTCCTCCGGCCTAACGATTCACACTGGCACCTGCCTGCGAGTGGTTGGACCAAGGAAAGGCCTGTGCAGGCTGTGGAATAAGCTTAGACAGGAATTGGACAGGAATAAGCTTGGATAGGAATTGGGACTGCATCTAGAATGAGGCCATGGGATCCAAATGGGTCAGTGCTCACAGGCTTCTGACCCCTTGAGAAGGAGTATGGCTGGAAGAGAGCTAGAAAAAGGTCTTCCTGGTTAAGTGCAGCCATTTACAGCTACTATGAAAATTATTTTACCGTTTTCTCGAGTGTTGCCAATTGAGCATCATTAAAATCCAGGAGCCAGGGAAAATGCAATCTGGAGGATGGGAAGAATTACTCATCTATAGATTAATACTCAGTTAAGATAGAAACTCAGCCTTCTCTGGATGTGCTGTCATACTCTAGCATGGAGTAGGGGCATCCCCTTCTTAAAAGTTAAGCCAACTAATACTTAGAAAGCCACCCTGCCTTGCAAAACATTTTGAGATAGGTGTCTAGAAATGGCTTGCCTGAGCAACATCAAGGTTAAGGAAATTTTCCGTATGGAAATTATAGGGATTGGTGTCATTCAACAGACGAGGTGTTTTAACAGGGGTTTGGTTTTTCCAGGTGAATTACTGGAATTCTAACGTGAATGAAGTCCAGGGGGTTGTGATGGATCAGGAGGGGAAGGTGGTGCACCGGCTGTTTGGGAAATGGCACGAAGGGCTGTACTGTGGTGTGGCCCCTTCTGCTAAGTGCATCTGGAGACCAGGTGAGACTGGCTTGAGTGTCCCGCCTCTAGGGGGCGCCATGAGTGGCAGAAAGTGGGGAGGGTCCCACTGTCTCCTTACGTTTTCTTTAATAGTGAAATCATAAACATAAATGCTTAAGGCAATTACAGTCACATTTATACTTAATCTATAAGTTTAATGTCCAATATTTGGTAATAAGGAGTTGTCGAATTGAGACCAAATCTGATGTGTGGTCAGAGATTGGGCTTCATGTAAAATCTCTCTAAATGTAATGCCCACATTTCCAAAGCTAGGTTTACTTATTAAAGCATTTAAGTAATTGAAATATGCAAATTTAAATACTTATGTTGTTTGTTTATTCTCTGTTTTAGTAAAACAAAAGAAAGCCTGCAAACATCCATAATCCAGAAATTCAATTATTTAACCAGAATAAGTGACCTTTTTACTTGAGCAGCAAAGAGCTACAATATGTTGACATTTAATAAAAGACATCAAGAGAGCTCTGGTAACACACTAGCACATAATTGACTATCAAGTACAAATGGAACAAGTATCCACATGATATTTATTTTTATTGGAAGTTTGTCAGTTAATTCCTAACTTTAAAATTAGTTATTAGTTTCCTTAGAGACCTCACCTGAGTATATAAATTCCCTGCTAGTAGAGTGGTTAGTTCATTTATTTGTCAGTTATATACTGAGTAGTGAATAAGCTTCAGGCTCTGTTCTGGAGGCTTGGAAGTACATTACTGTGCAGAGCCTGCAATGGTTCTACCTTCTAATTTAGTTTAAAAGTGCCAGTAAACATTAGATCTGAATCTTTTTCTTTTCTAAATGGAAATAAATTTTAAGTGTTTCTGGTGATATCTTAATGCTGCTCATAGTTAATCACTTAAACATTTAGTTACCCAGTTGGATATTTGAGAGAAAAATTATGGTGTAGTTTAGCCAGTGAAGACTACTATATGTGCAAAGTTATATTTTAAAGGCTAGATTTTATTAAATATATGAATCTATCAATTCTAATAGTCAACATGAAAGTTTTTCATCTTACAAAATAAAACCGATTTAATTTTTTTTTTAATTTGTAATCTAGGGACTTCCCTGTGATCCAGTGGCTAAGACTGTGTGCTTCCAATATAGAGGGGCCCGGGTTCAATCCTTAGTCAGGGAACTCAATCCCACATGCTGCAACTAAGTGTTCTAATGCCACAGTGAAGACCGAAGATGTCACATGCTGCAACTAAGACCCAGCACAGCCACATAAATAAATAAAATAGTTTAAAATTTGTAGTCTAATGTCTGTGACTACAGATTTAATGTTAATGTGAGTGTTAGTTAAACATCCGGGTTAAGTCAGCCTCTGCATGCTCTGCACACCTCTTTGCCTCTCACGGTGGTTTCTTGGCTTCATTCCAGGTTCCATGCCCACCAACTATGAGCTCTACTATGGCTTCACAAGGTTTGCTATTGAGCTCAACGAGTTAGATCCTGTACTAAAAGACCTCCTTCCTTCAACAGATGCCCGATTCCGGCCAGATCAGAGGTGAGCAGAGCGGTAGTGTTTAAAATGAACAGTAGGTCATGACATGGTGCTTGCAGAAGTCATCATACTTTGATCACCATCCTTTACTTATTCACTGAGTAAGTGAATTCATTCCCTTATTCACTCAGCAATAGTTGAGCCTTCTAACCCTAGATAAAGAGTATTCAGAGTATGATCATAATAGAAGATTAACTCAACAAAAGTGCCCCGAAGAAGATAACACAGATGTTTTTTAACAAAAAGTGCAGCCCCCCAGTTTACCAAAAGTCTGCAAATTGTTGAACTCTTATACACAGTCCCTCCTCACCTCAGTTTTTGTACTTCTATACTTCTATTACTTTTTAACACGGAACATCTTTTTTTATTCAAGTAACATTGGTGTTACATTATATAATCATAACATTATGTATGTACTAATGGGCTTCCCGGATGGCACTAGTGGTAAAGAACCCGCCTGCCAGTGTAGAGGTCGTAAGAGATGTGGGCTCAGTCTCTGGGTTGGGAAGATCCCCTGGAGGAGGGCATAGCAACCCACTCCAGCATTCTTGCCTGGAGAATCACATGGACAGAGGAGCCTGGTGGGCTACAAGTCATAGTGTCTGTAAGAGTTGGACATGACTGAAGCAGCTTAGCATGCATGCATATATAGTAATATTATGTAATTTTCATGTGTACAAATTATATTATACATCTGTATACTTACATATACCAAAAATTTAGTTTCTATCCATCATCATACAGTTGATCTCCTTTATCCATCTCAGTGAAGAATAAGAGGAGAAGATACAGGGATACCTAGAAATCATTATTGTCGTCATTTAGTAGCTAAGTTGTATCTGACTCTTCTGCAACCCCAGAAACGGTAGCCCTCCAGGCTTCTCTGTCCATGGGATTTCCTAGGCAAGAATACTGGAGTGTGTTGCCATTTCCTTCTCCAGGGGATCTTCCTGACCCAGGGATCAAACCCACGTCTCTTGCATTGGCAGGTAGATTCTTTATCACTGAGCCACCAGGGAAGCCCATACCTAGAAATACTTTGAGTCAAGAATTGGAGTTTTCCCAGCATGTTTTCGATCCCCTAGAGTGTGAGATATGCTCAATATACAGTATCTTTAATACATTCTGATTTTTAAAAAATTATTCTTACATATTGCTATACTCATGTTGTCTATTCCTACAGAATTAATTTTACTCTTTACATAAATTCTGTGTCATACAGATTCCATCCAAGATTTTCTGTTTCCAGTGTCTTTGTGGCTTTGTCTATCTTCTGCCAAAATGTCCCCAGTATTGGATGTTCTCGTATTCAGTTTTCTTATGTTCCACCCTCTTTCCCTCGAACATGCAGTATCACTGTTTGACCTTCAAACTTGTCAATAAGCTTCCTGTACAGTGTGTATCACATTGTATCCCTGTTCTTTGCTCTCATTTTGAAATTTTAATATTTGCAAGTCACCATTGGGTCTGCTTTCTCAATTCTATTTCAATATTCCCTTTCTGAATTTCATTTACTACTTATTTCCTTTCTGTGGCCTTTTGCAATTTCCCCCAACTGTTACCTTTTCTTTTTTCATCAGTTTTACTCTCCAATAAAAGATGAGAGCTCCTCCCTCTCAATCTGTTCTAAATGTAGCTGGAGAACGACCAGGTCACATCCTCCGTGCAGTAACCCTTCACAAGTGCTTCATTATAACATGGAAAAGGAGCAGAGCCAGGGACTTCCTGATGTTCTAACCTCAGACTCTCCAGTCGTCCTGAAAAATCTCAAGTTTTGGAACCCTAGACAGCACAGAGAAGCTGACCACTTTTCCTTTCACTTCTGCCTGCAATGCAGAAGACCCAGGTTCAATATACCTGGGTTGGGAAGATCCCCAGGAGAAGGGAATGGCAGCCCACTCTAGTATTCTTGCCTGGAGAATTCCATGGACAGAGGAGCCTGGTGGACTTCAGTCCATGGGGTCACAAAGAGTCTGACACAACTGAGTGACTTTCACACCTTCACACACACAGAAAATACATTAGCTGATGGCAGACAGAGACTGTGCAGGGGGAAGGGGACGTTATCAGAGTGTTACTGTTCATTGTGTTATGTTCATAGCAACCAGAATTTAAGTTTATGCAAACGGCATGATTTTTTTCTCAGAAAAGAAGATAATATATTAAAAGATAAACTGCTTTCTGCTTAGATTTTTGGAAGAAGGAAATTTAGAAGCTGCAGCATCAGAGAAGCAAAGAGTAGAGGAACTCCAGAGATCTCGAAGACGATACATGGAAGAAAACAACCTTGAACATATACCAAAATTTTTTAAGTAAGTCAGTTTATTCCCGCAACAAGTTCATGTTTTGCAAATGGTTGCCACAAGCAGTGAAAAACTTAGGGTAAAAAGAAAATGAGGGATAGTTTCATGTCCAGGGCACTTTGAGGTAGAAAATTAAACTGATTTTGGTCACTGGTATTTGGCAGTGAAAATACTGAATCAGATTTTTTGGTCTCAGGAAGTTTGAGGCCATAGAAATAAATTCTGCTCGACAGCTCTTTTCTTTTCATGGGCAGCAATAGCGAGTGAGGGTCCTGCCCAAAAGGCTCCTTATCCTCCAGCTACATCCTTTTGAATGGTAGAAACTTGTTCCCACTCCCTCACCCAGAGATAAGCTGGGACCTTATTGCCCACAGGGTCATTCTGGCTTCATTAGTATTTTATTTTACTTCTTTCATATGGAGGGGCTTCCCTGGTTGGCTCAGACAGTAAACAATCTGCCTGCAATGTCAGAGACCCAGTTCGATCCCTGGCTTGGGAAGATCCCCTGGAGAAGGAAATGGCAACCCACTCCAGTATTCTTGCCTGGAGAATCCCATGGACAGAGGAGCCTGGCAGGCTACAGTCCATGGGGTCACAAAGAGTCGGACACGACTGAGTGACTAACACTAACACCCTCTGTCATATAGAGCTTTGTGTCCATTCAGATTTGACCCTTCTGTGGTCTGATCATGGTGATTTACAGGGTTATTTGAGGGATTATATACACATCACACAGACTAAGCTGTGGTTTCCAGACCCATCTGCCGCCCTTTAGAATCAGGACACATCAGCTCAGAGTAACCTCATACCCCTTTGAGCTGCCCTGTCCTGGCTGGCCTGGAGCGGAACTGCAGTCCTGCTGTTTAGATGTTGAAGGTGCCTTCACTGGGTCTGGACCCTGCGGAGGCTCCTCCAGCTACTGAGGCTGATCCCTTCCCGTCAGTGAAGCAGAGAAAATTCCTGTGGGTCTGGGGTCTTGTTACAGTGTTTGTACATGCTTTGTCTGGGCCACTTCAATTTCTAGTCCTGCCTTGAGGGGACTTATCCCCGCTCTTAGCCCTCTCTCTAGGACCCTGCCCACTTCCATTTCACAACAAAAATGAGTTTATTTCTGGTCAAAAATAGTCAAATCATCAGCCAGTAGATAGAATGTTCACTGGCTTACAAAGTACTGATTCTAATACACACCTTATCTACAGAAGGGGGTCCAATTATCAGGTCACCTGAATGAGACTTACATCTAATGTTGATTTGTGTATTTTCACAGAAAAGTGATTGATGCCAATCAAAGAGAAGCCTGGGTTTCTAACGACACCTACTGGGAGCTGCGAAAGGACCCTGGGTTTAGCAAAGTAGATAGCCCTGTTCTCTGGTAAACTGGAAACGTAGAGCTAGCCGACATATCACGCTCTGAATGAATAAATAACTATGCACAATTATGTTTCTTAGAGCTCCGCGTGGTTTCTGGGTCTACTGAAAACCGACCATTTGCTTTTCTATTCATCTTTATAATGAACTTTCAGAAGTGCATTAGACAAGGCCTCTAACCACTTTTGGATCCTTTCTGTTTTGCTGCAACCATATTCCTTAAAAAACATCCACACCCTCCTCAAAAAGCAGAATAAAAGGAACAGAATATAAAATCCAAAGTCTGAAGAGTCTGTAAAGAGAAACAAACCGTAACTGGTGCTTCAAAAGCTGATCCAGAGAGTTTAAAGCAACATGACACATGAACCATGCATCTGGTCCTTTTCCAGAAGCTCCATCCCCTCCTTGCAGGAGCTCCAGGGCCATGGCAGTTGGTCAGCTCAGACTTGGAGCTTGTCTGTTTGATGTGGTGTACCTGTGCTGGCCTTTTCAAAAGAGATGTGATGCTTCTCAGAACCTGTTCCATCTGTACGCCATTGTTCATGCCTTAAGAAATGCAAAGATGTACAATAAATCATTTTTTTAAATGTGCACTCCTAGGTTTATGTGAAGGACAGATCTTTTGAATCATGGCATGATTCACTTTATGGGATCAGAAGAATTATGAGACTAACTCACATAGCTTGAAAAAAGTAAACAACACGTGCTTTACTTTGATATATTGGTTACTATATCATATGTCTGTAGGGCAAGAAGGGAAAGGTGTGCTAAGTAGATCTCTGTATTCACGTTGCTCATCAGTTTCCTGTCCTGCGTACAGTTAATAAACCATCCCTCTTCCACCTAAGCTCCCAGTGTGCCCTATTATTTGGCAACAACCATATTTGATTTGAACACTTGGCATCAGTGTTAAAACTTCAGAAGGAAAAGGCAGAAAGCGTATAGAATTTCTCTGTGGGCTTTGGAGTACTGTAAGTCTAACTATTTTTGAGTGAAGCACAGTGCAGCCCACATCTATCCTGTGTCTGACCCATTGACACTGTTGGAATTCCACTGGGAAAGGAAGCGAGAACACTAGTAGCTTATTTGCATTGTTTAAATGAGTTCTATGCAAAACCACATATCATATTTTCATCAAGTGTTTCTGTATGATACATAGCCACAGATTAAACATTTACCTTGCTATTGGCAGAAATATAAAATTTAAGCTAAGGAATTTATCCATCCTGACAAAAAAGGAGGGAGATGAGGGGCAGAAATGTGTTTTGCATATTTCAGAATTTGTTTGAAAAAAACAAAGAAGTTTTGTAGGAACTTGCATCGGTATTTCTGAGTTCCTGCACGTAGATATTTATGTAAATGCTTATATATTTTTTAAAAAAATCTCTTTAGAGATTTTCCTAGAGAATTATAAAATCACATGTATTTTATTCTGTTGAATTTTTATTCTTAGACTCTTATCATCAGATTTTATGTGTCATTTTAAGCTCTGATGACAAAGTTACTGATTTTTTTATTATGAAGTGTTGATTTTAGTTTTGTTTCTTTTCCTCAAAGAATTCCTAATTATGGCTATTTCACTATCAAACCAAGACTGCTGAGAGCATAAGGAAAAACTCCGAAGCCTCCACTAGGTGGAGCAGGTTTTAATTATCTGAAACTCATTCCTCCTGTTATCTGAGTCTATACCTTTTATGTACAGCGTGCAGTGGTTCAAAATGCAGTCTCATTATCAAGCAAACTCCCAGCTCTGAGCATGTAAGCAGAACCCTCCCTCAGTTTCTCAATGCCTTTAATTCCTATTTTAAGTCTTTGTTGGCTTCCCCAGTGGCAGTAACATGTTCCTTATTATTGATTCTTGTTCTGCTTATTCATTTTGATGTCCTTTTATATGCATCCTGAGATACGTGCCTTTAATTTTGATTAAATTTTAATTAGAATTTCGTTGGCTTCCTCAAGGAAGTCTGTTCTCCCTTAATTGGTAAAATTTTAGATACTACTTACAGTGGTTCTTGTCTGTATTTACTAGCATGTCCCTGAAGAGTCTCCGAATTTTAGCCTAAAGATAAGGAATGAACTCTGCAAAATAAAGGTACTGCAAATAAGAAGATACTACAAGTAGGAAGGTAAGACACCAGGTGACCAACGATATCAATCAGGCGGCTGGACGGGGACCCATGACCCAAGAGGGAGGCACCTGCCATACCTCGCAGTGGGCTTTGAGAAAGAGACCAACTAGTAGGATGGACCTTTACTACCTAATAAGTTAAAGGTACAAATCAGGTAGGTGAATGTTGGTCAGAGCTAACCGGAAACTCTAACTAGGATTTCAAGATGAGAATGAGAAGAGTGTCAAATTAGTTAAAATCACCACATTCTTTGTAACTCTTTTGAGATTCAGATATACTGATTAGAATTCCAGTTCAAGTGATCAAGTTTTAGATAATGCTTCTGTAGTAGCTGATTCACAAATATTCCCTTCAGACATTCATACCAGTGTAATGGCCCCATCCCTCATTTCGTTCTCACTTTTTATTTGATAATTGCAGAATTGTAAGACTCTGTATTCATCTGCATAATTTGGGGGCTTTTGAGACTAGTTTCAACAGGAAAAGGATAGACTAGATATTAGATCCTTCTTGATAAAACTTGACTTAGAATTTGATATAAATCTTTTCATTTCAGGGGCACTTCCCCCCCCCCCCCCAAAGCAGCCTAGGATAGAGGAGGACTTAATATATCTTTATACCTCCCCTGTGATTTATTCTAAGCTCCTTCATATTTTTGAGCGGGTTGTTAAGGAAAGCAGTAATAACTGATGATGGTCCTGTGGATGTGGCTAGAGAGAAAAGAGTAATGGCACACACCAGCATGTGCAGAGGCCAACCAGAAACCAATTATTTTGCTTCCATATGCTGCTACCAAGGGTGCAAATTTACTTTCAGATTTTGCTGTTATTTTATTGGGTTTTTTAATTAATTTATGACTTTTCATGGGTCACTTTAAATTCCAGACAGTTGTAAAAACAAACCTCATTTGAGATATTTTAATATTACATATCAATTATATGTGACATGAAAACTACCAGATGTATTTTGGTAAGAGAAATCAAGGAATTTCTCATACAAAGGATGCCAGGTTGTTGATTTTCTTTCTAAACCTTGTGCTCCTCTTCATTAATCTGGCCCCTAGGACTTGCAGTGATTCCACTAATTAAGCATTACCGTAGGTCCTGCCCCAAGGAGCACTAGGGTGTACAGAGTTAAAGAGGAAGCTGATCCATCTGTTTTGCTTAGTTCTGATTATGGCTCTGGCTGGAGAAGAGTTTATAATCATAATCGAATGTACATTTTGTTAGTACCTTGGGTTTTAATTATCCATCTTGTCTCATCTTGTACTCTGTCATCCAGATAATGAAGTATTTGGTGGGAGCAGAGCTCCTCACACACCAGGGGGTGTAATAAATGTTTGCACTTGACTCAAGTTGATATGACTGTGGCACAGTAAATAAAGCTTGTGTACAAAATATTTATTTCTATGGCAGCCATTATGTTCAGGATATATAAACTGTATCTAATTAAACAATTATGAATCTGTTTTGTGCTCTAGAAATATTCTTTGGGGGGAAAGATGGAAAAAATGTCATGGGAGCCAAGATTAAACTATTTGGGTTTCTTTTTTTTTTTTTTCCCAAAAAGCCTCCCAGTGATTTAGAAATAGTGCTTATCAAACTAGGATTAGATTATCTAAGTTTTAATTGAATTTCTTTTGTAAGATTGATCCTTTTTAACTATACATTGCATGAATCATTCTGTTAAACCTGACTTTAATACATAATTATATGAACACACTTGTGACTGAATTGTAAAACCTTTGTTGTAGCCTTCACTATTAGAGAAAATGGCAAATTGTTCAAGAGGGGACTAGTTTTAACCCTTCCAAAGTGAGATTGAAAGAATAAATTCTTTAAAAATGACTGTGATGAGTCAGCATTCCCAATATCTTAAGCAAATGGAAGCCCCATGATTAAGGCAGCTTATAGGTGCCACTATGCTGTTACCCATTTACTCTCAGATTTTTGTAAACTTACTCTCAGATTTTGCTGGTCTTTAATTGGCTTTTTAAAAAACTAAGTCATTATTTTTCATGGGTTACTTTATCCCATAATTTCCAGCTTACAGTCCTGTTAGTCATATGCACCCTTTTGTTTTCCAAAATAGCTATCTTACTTGATTCATTTTCTCTTTTCCTCTGGTCCTGAAATAATGAGGGGCAGGAATACACATGCCTCTTCTTTTGCACTATGCCATTGAGTGTTTGTAAAATATGCAGCATTTATGCACAGTTGCAGGCTAGTGTATCAGTATTACAACCATTGCATTTAGCTCCTGTGGAACACTACTTTTAAATGTTTCTGGATTAAAAATTACCCCATTATTACATATTATTAGTTTTATCAGTATCTCCAGACTAGTAAGAAAAAAATATTTTAAAAGGAACACTAATTTTCTGCAAAAAATTTTTTTCTCTCAGTTCTTCCTTCTAAATATAAATTAGGGCAGTTTTGGAGAGAGGAATATCGAGCTTTCAGAAAGCAAAGTATAATCCTATTTGAGTTCTGTTTCTTCTTACTCTTAGTTAACAAGGTACATTTGTGCATGTTAAGTCACTTCAGTTGTGTCCAACTTTTTGTGACCCCGTGGACTTGCAGCCCCCCAGGCTCCTGTCTGTGGGATTCTCCAGGCAAGAATACTGGAGTGAGCTGCCATGATCTCCTCCAGGGGATCCTGCTGACCCAGGGATCAAACCTGCATCTCTTATGTCACCTGCATTGGCAGGCAGGTTCTTTACCTCTAGCGCCATGTAGGAAGCCTTGAGTTAATAGGGTAAGCACAACTTAATACTGTTAAAGACAAAATAATGCTAAAATGATTATTTCTTTTATTTTAGGTATTAATTGCTAATCCCTGCCCCTTTAATTATCTTCATTAAGTTATTTCTTTAGGAA